TGACCAGATACCTAGGTACCTAGGTAGGTACTCCCCACTACCAGGTACGATGCATGTGCCTAGCATACCCTGTTTACCTGCACAACTGTGTAGATGAATAAAATGTCCATACGAAGTAAATACATAGTGAGGCAAGCATCGACATATCTGAGATATCATTTGGAGGAATGGCTTAGGTCGCATCATAAATAGAAAGGCTATCTATCCTCCTAACCCCACGGAAACGATGCCTGAGTGATGTCGCGTTGGAAATAAATACCTACCTGTCAAGATACTACCTTGGTACACGGCTGAGGGTCGCGTCGGTTCCATGACTTGATCAACTCGTACGAGACACCAAAAACACAACACAAAGATCTTTCTTTACTCTGGCCGTTTTGAATCTAAATTAGCTGCGAGTCTACTCATTAGATCCGAACAAAGAAAACTTAACCACGCGTACTGAGGAAAGTTGTGTGGGACTCGGCTGAACCAAGCTTCTATATTCTTCAAAGCGAAACCTTCTTCGATGTCTCTTGACCCGTACAATGAGACCTCCCTACCTATTGCGTGAGGTGACCAGGTAGTTAGCTCTAGCTTCACTTGATCGACGCTTGTGCTAATCGACATATCCCACATCTAGTGCTCATCCCTATCGTATCGTGCCTGGGTACACGATAGTCGATGATCCTCCACAATTCATCCAGAGCCCTTTTTTTGAAGGAGCCAAGACTTGTCATAAGTGAGTCTGAAAGACGACGGTGGGGATAGGTACGTACTAGACAAAGAGTTTTACGTAGCATCGGGCTACGTTCAGCTATCTGCATTGCATGGTTAGCCCCCCGTCATCTCTTCACCAGTCACAGCCCTCGCCGTCCAGCGCGGAGATCCACTCCTCCATCTTCAATTCTTGATGCCTTGTTGCCTGATCCTCACCGGTCGGTCTGATAAATGCAACATAGATATTGAATCTTGATAATGTACGGATTGGAATGCATCCTTGATATTTTACTATCTACCTACCTATGCGACAGAACTAACTTTTGGATAGACACGGCTTGTAGACAATTCGGATATAGCCTTTTCTAACCGGATTTCCATTGGAAGTCCGGCACGCCTTATACCATTCGGTAGGTAGGTATTGATTAAAAATATCTCGCTAGATATCCGAGTCAAGGTTCGGAGTTGCAACCCGGGTCCTCGATGTCGGGTCGTTTGGTAACACCGCACCTAAGTCGAAAAAAATCATAAACACCTGTTTAGAAGATATCTGCACATACTTGGCAGTCTACCAATGACCTACCTAAGTTGGCAAAGGGAACAAAGTGTCCCACATCGGCCGGAAACGTATATCCTTGATATAAAAGGGAAATATAGAAGAATCTGCCGGTAATGTCAACATTGTAACGTCTTGCCAAAATGAATTACTACACGACGCGCCGAGGTGCCTTGAGAGTTTATCTTCGCGGTTGAAACATCCGGACTACCGTTGCTCATCACGAGGAGACAGATTTGAGGCCATACACACTTGGCAAGCAATGCTGTTGAATTTCACTGCCCAAAATCGGTACCTATAGCCGTTACGCGCCTTGGTAGGTTATCCTCGTGAGTATGTATCTATCTTGGCCTGGGATTCAGTCGGTGAAGCACGGTTTCGACAGTTTGTGGATCTGGTCAAGGCCTTTCTAGCTCACCCTGCTCACCTTGATCGATCTTGATCCCCAAATGAGATCTTCGGTACTGTACCGAACCATCATGCCCTGAGTCTCCTACGTAAAACCTCGGTATCACCCCGGTTTTTCCCATCACACCGGTCACTTTACGCAGTGACTCTCTGATTGGTACGATAGTCCAAGCGTATCGTAGTACAAGAGAAGGCTATGAAGAGGGGGGCAATGGGGGGGTGGTTCTCTTGTGTGGGTCGTCAAGAATGGACTTGAATCTTCAAAAGGTTCTAGACAATCATCAATCAGCCCAGCATATTCATTTTGCACTTGCTGCGGCATGGGTTATTCAAGCACGTTTTTCCATACCCAGCCTGGCCTACATGGCGTCAGTGACACGATGGTGCATAAGCAGCAAATGTGACTACTAGGGCTATCTGCAGAATTTCATTACTATATACATCTGATTTGAACTTCAGACCGTAATTTCAAGCTCCGTCAATGCCATTCGCATTGAAAGTCCATCATCGTCTTTCGATCTGCCTTCATCTACTACCGGGCTTAGCAAAGATGTCTCGGGTTCGACAATAATCTATTATCACTGGATACCCACATGGCATGTGTTTGTCTTGTCCTTCCCGGGCTCTAAACAGCTTGTCGGTGTTGGCGGGGATAAACACATTTGTGTAGAAAGATATTTCCACACCTACATATCTAAGGACTATGGATGATTCGTAACGAGGCAGTGTGCATTTTCGACATTGATGGAGGTTTGCCAAGATAGGGGTATAGGCTGGTTAAGTATGGGAAGCATTGCAGGTTTCCTTTACCTCGACGCAACTACACACATCTCACATCTCGATCGTGTTGTCCATTTCGAGCCCTTTCTTGCTAGCTTTCGGATGCATCTCGCGCTAGTCAACGTTAATATCACACAAACCGTCTCCCCATCCACTCGTCTTATGTTTCGTTGTTAGACATTAGCGAATGGGAACGAATGGGAGAATGTGGGGAACGGGCAAGGGTAGCGAATCGAAATGTCGAATTAATACATAAGGTACATGCTTACTTCAGTACTTCGGTACACATGCATCCATTTCATCCAACAGCCACGGTACGTATCGTACTCAGGTACACAAGGTGCTAGTAGGTAAGGAAGGTATGATGCGTACCTAGTATGGTGTATTGGTGCCTGTCATCAAATTCATTAAAGAGCTCTCTTGGAGAAATGGAGCATGGAGTGTTGAAAAAAAGGCACTAACCCCGGTCGTTACCCGCAAACCGTCTTTTTCTGTTGCTGCTTGCAGTTTAAAGAGAGAACCTTAGAACAAGGTCTCAAAAAAAGCTGCAAGGACACTGCCACCATCCACACCCACACCCACATTTCGTCCCCCGGCAATTAGCTGCTTCTTCCTAGGTAGCGGCGCGTCGGCGTGCACGCTGCAAATGCAAATGCGTCTCCGGGACTAGCAAGCTAGCTTAGCGTGCTCCTCTAGCGTGCACCTGTCCCGAGTTCCATAATGGAGGGTCTAGGTCGCCTATCAACAACCTGGGTATTATTCTACATCCATTGGTCGCTACACCCTTTTGACCCTACCTAACACGTTAAATTGTTGCTTTTCAGCTTACCTTAGGTACCTAGTAGGCAAGAAGAAACTGTCATTGTCACGTAAGTGGCCTGCGCTTTACTTTGTCACACTGCTCTACATATTCTTTTCTTGCCCTGGCCCATGTCCTATTCTGATATTGCAACGTTTTATGTTTTAAGTCTTTTTGGTTTAGCGTCCTATAGGATAAATGAATGACCTTAAACTAAAAGAAAAGCTCGGCCGGTAACTACATATGTACCTACCTGAGATCAATGATCTTATAGTTTAGAGTATATTTAAGTACCTACATAAAATACGGCGCCGAGGTACAGGTACCTATGGTATCCTAGATATCCTTTGCAGAGTACCTAGTGTAGGGATCTTACCTACCTAAACCTGGATAATGTTTGGGTATTTTAATGGGTATATGCGTATATGTATGTACGGAGTACGAATAGTTGAAGCAACCAATATTCGTACTAGAAAGTGGCAGAGTGGCAGCGTCCAAACAATCCGAAAAGACCATTGACCACTCATAAGCTCTAAAGTGATCAGTCAAACTTCTTCCCACTTACCCATCCAGCCCATCCACACTTCAACGTCCCCATGTTCCCATACTTTTTCCCACCCATTAGCCATTCAGTACTTCCATGTTCAGTCCAATCGAGAAATTTCAAGGGCTAGACACCACCCTTATCCTCGTCCATCCATCTATCACTGGCCAAATCAGGAGCAGCCCTGGAGCACTTTTTTCATCCTCTAACCCATAAACCCTCTACCCTCTTTTTTTCCTTTCTTTTTTTCCCATCTTCTTACTCTCTACAACCCCTGCGCGAGACAGGCCCTTCTACTGTACGACAACACAAAGCAGCCCAAAGAGAGAATTGAAAGGTTGCAGGGTTCCTCCTTTCTTTTTTGCTCCCACGCCCCCCCAATACCCCATCCCACCAACCTAAACCTGAACTAAACTTGAACCTGCGCCTGCACCTGCACCCAGAAACAGTCTTGTCTCTTTCTCCAACCCCCAAACTCAATATTATTATTATTATTTCCAAATACTTCTCTATCTACTTACATACTTACCTACTTGCACCTATCCTACCTAAAACTATCCTTTACCCGTTTCTATTTGCCTACTTACCTAGCTCGACGCCTTCTTTCTTTTTATGTGTCTTCGTGGCGAACTGCAATCTGCAACCTGCAATTCGCATTCCTCCATCCCGTCCTGTCTTATCGCGCGTCGCCGGCTCCCAGACATCGCAACTGTTCTCCATTTTTCTCACCAAGTCGCGTCGCCGTCGTCACTCCAACCCAAGATTGGACAATCGAGTATTCAGTAAACCGACAATCGCGTCGACTAGTAATACACACCTAATCTTTTCCCAACCTACTCATCCCGCGCGCCGCAATCCTGTGGGCGCATCCACAATTTTGTGCCTGCTGAACCAACTGAGCCAACCCGTCGCATCACGCCAAAAAGGCACAAAGCCCAAAAAAATCCAACCCGACGCAAGTCTGCGACACTTTCTCTATCGTCCTACGATCAGCGCGATCGTCGTCCGAGTCTTTTTATCATAGGGTCCCTAAAATTCAGGCACCTCTCGCAGGGTGACTTAATTGCATGCATAACTAAGCAATGAATGTGGACTTGAATACCCCGGGTGTGATTTCACATACGTCAGCTAAATCCTCTGCATTCTCGCCTCCTTTGTCGTCAACCCGCGCGAGTCCTTTTCCTCCCACCACGGCCGCTGCCACCAAGATAGCCATGGCTGCGCCTGGTTTTCTCCCTCAATCGCAACCTTTTAGGTCTGCAGCTGTATCCGCTCAATCGCCCTACCCGCTGTCCATGGGCGCTGTTATTAATCCTTTCGATCGTGATGCGACCACCAAGCCCGTCGGCACGCCTTATGCGACAACGCCCTCACCTGTCTCAACCATCTTGATTCGCCGACTTCCTGCCGACACTACCGATGAAAAGGTTCGTCTGATGCTTATCTTCTCGCAGGAATTGCTCGACATCGAGATGATATCTATGGAACAGTCGGAAGATCCAGGCTTTCGGTCCGCGATTGTGAGATTCAAGACTCCCAACGGAGCACATCAGGCCAAAGATACGTTGCATGGCAAGTCCATTGGCTCAAGTGATATCGAATTAATCGTCGAGATCGTATCCGGCAGCCCAACCACGTCGAGACGACACCCAATCGAATCTGCAGTTTCGGCCCCATCTAGTGGCCCCTCATCGACCACATCTTCGGGGGCGGCATCGCGTCAATCTTCTCGGTTTAATGGGACGTTCCAATCTCTGGAGAATATTTCGCCCCCTATGAATGGTATATACGGGAGTAACGAGCTACCAAATCCCGAATCTAGCGCACATTATCAGAGCCTCTTCTCGCCACAGTCGCCGATCGGCAACCACCTTACTGAGCGCACGCGCATATCCGGCAAGACCCTCATTAGCCACGATGCTGCAGAGGATGATGAGACGCGCGAGCTTCTAAAAGACCCCGTTGCGTACGCCGAGAATGGCGCGACACAACAGCGGAGAGCCACGGCTCCGCAGCTACCTATCAGTCGCATGGCTAACTTATCTCTTAATACGACCGCCAATGGACCAGCATCTTTGCCACAGTATGGTCACCCGAGCATAACTCCTCTATCCGCGCACGGAAATACCATGTCCCCGACGGTGATGAACGGCGCGAGTCACTCGATGAACTACCAGATGGGCAATCAGCATTACCAGCGACATAGTAACTTTCCTCCTGTAAACCCCGCCGATCAGAACCCTCCATGCAACACGCTTTACGTTGGAAACCTTCCGATCGACACTTCTGAGGAGGAGCTAAAAGCTATGTTTTCTAAGCAACGAGGCTACAAGCGTCTCTGCTTCCGCACCAAGCAGAATGGTCCTATGTGTTTCGTTGAGTTTGAAGACGTGTCATTTGCTACTAAAGCTCTTCATGAATTGTACGGCACACCCCTTCATAACAGTGTCAAGGGAGGCATCCGCCTTAGCTTTTCTAAGAATCCTTTGGGTGTTCGTTCGGGTCAGTCTCCAGGCCAGACAGGCCCCGGGTCTATGGCGGGCATGAATGGTATGATGGCTGGACCCGGTAACGGTTTCACGAGCGCCAACGGCCCCCCGCCAGGCCTTGCGGCTCCTCCGGGTCTGAGTCGCATCTATAACGGGGGATCCTCGGTTCCCAGCAGCGCGGGCACTCCATATTCTGGGGGGTCTTTCCCAAGTACTAACGGTGGCGTATGGAGCAGTCCATTGTTTAGTGGACCGCTCTCAGCTGGTGGTTCCTCTCCAGCGGTGAACGGTTCTGCCTCAGCTTTCCCACCCTACATGATGGGACGATAGATAATTACCGAATCAAACTTAGGTGCATGCATTGTGTGTTTCAGGGATTGATCACTGGCGTTATGGATTAACACATTCGAAATGGGAACATTGAGTAAACGGCGCTCCTGATTCTCACGGGACCTCGTCCGTTCGACAGGTAGTGGTCGAAACCTATCGCATTTACTCTGGATCCTTAACTACGGGATAACTTGGCTAATGGCTGCATATGTACTGGCATTTGCAAATGGGGATGGTGGTAGTGCATGGTTTTTTTTTTAAGCGTCGGCGTCGATATTTTTCATCACAATGATTCCCCTGAGCGAGCCACCGTGTGGTTACTAGTTGCCTGGGAGTTTAGAGTTATCTCGGTGTTCTACTCAAGACTTGGTGGTCATGGAGGCATCTTTCGGTGTTTGTTTCACTTCACTTTTTTAGCGGGTCATCAGCATTACGTTTTTCTACTTTACGGCGATCGTCACTTAGCACTGCCGTCTCCCTGTCTCCGGCTCGAACAGATTAGAACAAACGATACGTCTGTGAATACGAGTTAGGTTGTCTCTATCAGCATACTCATACTGGACGAGCTTATTGTGGAACCTATGTCAGGGAAGGGCGAATCGGTTGTATTATGTATCGGTCCTTGTTCTATATCTACAGCATGGTCAAGAAAAGACGATTATCTACCTGGCACAAACCTATCCGCATCTTTAAAAACATACTAAAAAGCGATATCATTGCATTGTCCGAAAAAAAAAACCAACTTTTGGCGACAAAAAAGGGCTAGGATCGGTGTCAGACGGCGGAAGGGCATATATACACTTTGGATCCTTCGTTTCTCTGGGAGCTCAGGCCGGCTGGTATATTGGTACATTTGGTTGGATACCGGGGCTTACCAGTGGTTGTCACAAAGCATCTAGCATTCTGAAGAGGCTGGCATTTGATCTTGGTTGGGGTAAAAAAATAGGAGAACGGCCTCTTCACACACACACACACGCACACATATTGGCATCCCTGAAACTTGTTTAGCATCGAATCAGCGTTCTTCCCATTCGATCGGCGCATCTATCTTCAAAGAAGGTCTCTTTGTCGTTTCACATCCTTTGTTTTCATATCTTTTTTTATTTATTTTTTTCCTTTTGGTGGATTCATCATCACAACATTGCGACGGGGCGAGGGAAAACAAGCGACGGAGTACTTGGAACGGGTTTTCGACTTTCGCGGGGCGCAGTAGGGCAAAGGGTCGGGGTGCGTGGCATATGGGACGGAAAGAAGCGAGGCGAGTCCGGCAAGCAGGCAGGCAGGCAGGCGAACGAGCAAGAGGGAAGAAAAGGGGCGAAGGGGCTTATGGTTTTGAAGGGTGTGATTTTTTGGTTGGACCTGGATCATCCCATATACCTCTCTTGTCGTGTCGTTTTTTACCTCCAGCGCCTCACTTATACTCTCTTCTTCCTGTTCTGTTCTGGCTGATGGAAAAGCGCAAATCGACCGAATCTACCGCGTTTCGGGGCGTCCAAAACGCCATATGGATGTGTTCAAAGGAAAAGGAAGGAAGAGGCGGTGGAACAAATTTATTATCTTTTCCTTGCTATATTTTTTTCCTGTCTGTCTCCTCTGTCATCGTAATTTATAGCAGCTTAGCGATTTTTTAGACGGTCACCTCGATTCACATCCATCCAGAAGGAGAGAAAGCATCTATTCACATCCAATATTCATGCTCATATCTATATCACTCCGTATCTATCAACTTCTTTTCCCGCCTCTATCTTTTCTTTTCCTCTCGTCTCCGTCTCTCATACTCGCTGCTACTACGTGGCCTATTATTGTTACTGTTACTTTTACTTTTCTCTTTCTTTCCCCAAATGTAAAACCACCAGTACTAGATGCTCCTATCTTACTACCTACCTACTTAGCTTAAGACCTAATGTGTAACGGACCGGAAATGGGGAGGTGGAATGGGACGAGGGACGGGTCGGCCTAGTCCGGTTGCTGGTTTCATACGGCAGAGCAGTTTGCATATACCGAGGAGCGAGGAACGGAGTCGGGCTGGCTGGCTATCAGAAACCAAGCATGCTGCGTGCGCACGCACAGTGGCGTAGGTACGGATGGATGGATGGACGGCTGGGCGGATAGGTGCTTTAGCAAATTTACGCAGCGACGCTGCTTCAGTTCGCAACCCCTTTTCACCACACTTAGTATGATGTATGCCTCTTCTCTCATGCTTGTGCGTAGATATGTAGTCACTACGTCTTGGTATACCAAGGCTGCGTTGTGTCGTACCTGAGTGGAAACGAGGAGGAACTTCGAGTGCTGGGTATTGGGTTAAGTTTGATACTGAACGAAGCGTGCTAGTCCTAATGTGCTTAGATGGTGGGAGGAGCATACGGCGCATTCCCGGTCGTGTTATGTGTAGGCAGTTTCCGCGGAGTCAGGGTTTGGTTCAGAGCAGTTGGTTCGATCGAGTCCACCTGCTCTGTTTAAGGTGTTCTTCGCCACGACAAGGCACAGGTCTTCTAAGCACACTAATGCTTGTCTCTGTTAGCATTTTCCATCTGAGACATCCATGGATGATGTTTAACGACTTTGGGCTGAAGAGGCTAGGTTGTAAGCTGAACTGCTTGACCATCTAAGCTCAGCAACTGAGCAAAGACTTCCCTCCTCCCCCCTAAAGACTCACCGGCACCATGTTGGAACTGTCTGTGTCATTTGGTCATCGGTTTCCCTTTATCTGGCCTGGAAGCTAATGGTGAGGCAACCGATGCTTCTTCACCATTACCTAATTATTTAACGTGGTGACGCAAACCATCAAAACCCAGTAGATGCTTATCCCTTTAACAAGTGGGATGACAACACTCGTCAACAAATTTGCTAGGCGCGCCCCTTTCTTGCTTCCCACACTAATATTCCTTCCGATAGCGATGGTTTGAGCGAATATTCTCTTCCAAATATTATCGGGCCGCCTAACACGCCACGTCCATAGCTAAATCCCCTCATATCCGCGGATATCGGCCGTACCATGGGTAGACCTAGGAGAAGAAGCAAGGGAAGGGCGATATCGTCGTTCGTCGTAGAGCGTAGTAGAGCTACTCTGTCCTCACTGCTAGGAAGTCCACCTGGCCAACAGAAAACATTGCCGCCGATTGTGAATTCGTCCGTTCCAACACTGAATCCGCCGGGTCTCGAGAGACCAAGATGAGTCTATCGCCAACGAGCCCGCGTTCCATATCGTCCCAACAGCATATATATCGAAAAAATCGATTTTAACAAAACTTCGCTCGGTGTCTAGACGGGTGGGCGCAGGCACTGTCACAGAATGTAACTTTCCTCACTCGGTCCCGACAAGACATCGAAATCCCATAAAACATATTGCTAGTCTCCAAATAAGGGAATCAATCTTCCGGCAACCAATGCTCGCCACGTAAAGCGAAAGGCTGAACGCGGATGAAGGAATTGCGCCAAGGCCAATATACCGTCTGCAAAACAGGGGCGTCAGGAAGCAGCGCTTACGATTAAGACCTATTTCGTGGAACAGCAGCGTCTCTTCCGGCAGGTAAGCAATATTTTACCCTCTTTACCAAGAGTATATGAGTGCGGAATTATAGGCAAGGGTAAGCTATAACTACCGTACTTAATTAAAGAGCGGACGTGCGCATAACATATTGGTTTATGAAGACCCGACGCTCCGGGAAAAGGTAAGAGAAGGTGTGAGATCTGCCACCCGTATCTATCACCGAGAGTGCCGGACCCAACCCGGCGCAAGGTGTTAGATTTACGCTATCGCAGAATGGCTTTACGAAAAATCGTTCGATTGTGCCGCTAGACGATGATCTGCAATAGGTGTAACGCTGGTGCATGGCGCTTTAGACTAGTCTCGTGAAGGTAGGGCGAACTCTCATTTGAAGTCGCCTGACTTCCCTCCATAGTATGGGGTTGAGCGAAGAACATCAAACCTAGCTAGCGCCCGTCCGCCCTATGAGGGGAGAAACATAATGTACGGGGGTTCAAGACCCTGGACTAGACCGCCGTCCAAATGAAGACGATAGCGGTAAGTATGCGAACACCTTGTCGTGTGATCTGGTTGGTTATGTGTCGTTGGAAACGAACAGGCCTGCCAAATATGCATAGTATGATCCGCGATGTCTCCCTTGGCAGCATCCTAGACCGACGTGGGGTTTCCTGGGAACTCGACTCAGAGCACCAATGCCGGGTCCGATATTCGCGGCAAAGTAAACCTTCGAGCCTTCGGATTCAGAGATCTTTTCGTCGCGAAACAAGGAACTCCGCAGGGAAGAGGTTGAGGAAAGGAACATGGTTGGTCAGAAGTCCTTGAGCCTCGCATATCAGCTAATCATGGGGGCCGCATCCCCAACGACCGGATCCAGACGACGGCAATGCTCCCCATAAACATGGCAGGATATTGCGAGCCTGTCGCACAATGCTATCTTAGTACATCTGAAGCTCAGCTGAAGGCGAACTAGAATACGAAGGTTTCGTACTGCTTATATCAATATTAGCTCCATTAGAAATTTATCATACGATGTGCGGTACCTGCGGTCTTAGTAACAACTACTAGGTATAGATAAGTCTAATGAAAGTAAGGCGCCCACAAGGCTACGACGCGTTTTTGTATGACAAGTTTACGTCGTTCAATAGCGACGTAGTTGACCTACTAGGCCAATCTCAGTTTCAGGTAAGTAAGGGTAATTTATTCCCCCGCCAAGTCAAAACAACATAAGACCAACATTAGAGCTTCGAGCTACGACAAGCGACTTCGGCAGTCTTAGCCAAGCCAGCACGTGTTAACGTTGCTCTCAGCCGCAGAAGAGACTCACCTTGTCCCACCTTAGCTAGTAATAATAGTTTAGACCTATCTATTTAGGTACATCAGCAACGTGCATAGGCTTCTACTAGTCGAAGGTGAAGCTTTGCTCAAGGTCAAGCCCCACGATACCTCGGAGTTCCGATGCTATGCTGCTAATAGTATGGCTTGCATATCACATCATATGGCAGATAATAGCGGCGCGGATGAGGGACATGATAGTTGCCGTCCCCGCGTCTTACTCAATAGGAATTGTAACCGTCGAACAAGTCGGAAGCGGGTTTGAAGGAAGACGTAGCTTCGCAGCTAACATAGAAAAAGCTTCGGCTCGCGTATCTCCATTTGCGTACGCCGAGTAATACGAGGTTGCGTAATGTTTCCTTAAGTAACGAATCTCGGCAGTTACCTGGAAACAGACGAGCTTGGAAAGCGTTGATCTCTTGTTTCATAATCGATTTCTACACAGCGTTGTTGGTTGGATCTAAGATGTTAGCAGAAAACGGAAACCGGCGAGAATCATATAACAGAACAACTAATGTACTAGGTAAATCTTAGTAGGCTCGAAGTTGTTGAGTTTCAACTTAATCGAGAGTGGGCGGAGTGGGGGACCATTGCATACGGCAGCCCTGGGCAGCATAGCTACTTACTATGCGCTAGGGGACTCCGGGGAGCTGGATCGACCGCTTCCGACGTCAACCAGGATATTTTTTCACAAGCCGTATTTCCTAACTGGCGGTGGAATCTGCGCCGGGATATCCTGATGTACGAATGCTTGTAGGTGCTTGTATGTATGTCGGGTATGACTTCCAGCATATTTTCCAGGAAAGGGGAAGTAATTGAGATGCGTAGGCTGCAAAGCGCGCAGCCGGTATCCGTCAGGTGATGTTGAGATGCATACGGCGTAAGACAGACTTTCGTATGGGGGTGGCGGGTAGTGGATGGATGATGATGGTGGTATCTTCATCTAGGTATTTTTGAGGATCTGATGAAGAAACAACCGATTGCCTTTTAGGGCAGAGTAGCAAAGTATTAGAGCCTTGCCCAGACTCGGGGGTCACCATCAAATGCGGGATAGACCACGCAGACCACGTAGACCACGCAGACCGCGCAGACCGCGCAGCCACACTCACACTCACATACGCTTTACCATTCGGCGTGTCGGGAACGCTCGGATGAACAGCCAGCTGGACTGCCAAATGTTTTCACCGACACGTACGAAGTACTCGATGTTAACGGGTTAGCAAATGCGATTTGCATATTTTAACCCAACCAGAAGCCCAGGAGCCCGTGCAAGGTTTCGCCGCATTCGAATTAGCCATCCTCCGGCATTGGCGGGCGCACCATCCCAGATTTGCCATCTATCACCCGGTGATTTATCGATATTCAACAATCCATGCTACCTGTTGCTGGTAGAGCTGCGACAACGCAACAGCGCAACACAGCACGGACCGGACAAGTTGTGATGTAAAGAGAGGGGTGAGGGAGAGGAAGAGACAAGCGGAGAAATTCATACTTAAGCACCCAAGCGCAAACAACAACTTGTATATGCAAGGTCGTCTCCGTCTAAATTCCTCTATTGGTCCTTGCTGATCGCGCGGCTCCAATAATACAGCTGTAGCTGCGACTTTAAGTTGGAGCCCTGCACGAGATCAGATCAAACATACATGAGGGTATGTCAGCCAGCGGCAACGCGAACACCTTTATCCCTAGCATCGAAGTGGGTTTGTTGGTGCAGGTCCCAGAAATAAGAAAGCAATTGGCCATTCTGACCACCGTAATGTCTTACGTATTGATTTCAAAGCAGCGCTTGGGTCTTGGGGGATCCGTAACAGAATAAATATACCTAAATAGGTAACTAGGTAAATACCTAGATAGGTGGGTGGGCTTTTGAAGAGGGCGCCTTGAGATCGAAGGTGCTTAGAGCGATAGGTATAGAAAATAGAATATGGAGGATGAAGTAAGATGCTAATGAACTTGAAGCTAAAACTAACAAAATGTGGCGCGCCTTGATGGAACGATTACACCTTCTACCTTCCTATATCTTAGTACCTACCTATCCATTACTAGGAAATTACGCCGTAGGAGGGAAAGAGGCGGAAGGATTCAAAAAGTCAAAAGTCAAAAAAGAGCTAGAAGAGCCTATTGGGTCATCGCGGGGATTTGTACGACAACTAGGTACCATGCACTCCATCAAACGGGGTACGACAGTGATGTACTGTACGTACATACATTGCAGCACGTACGATATGTTCAATACATACTAGTAATGTACTTATGTGGACATTCCATGTGCTCGATATATGGACTGTACGGGCTGTGCGGGCTGTATGAACGGCGCCTGCGCCTACGCATGCTGCAACTGGCCTCTAAGAGGCTGGCTATACCAAGGAAAGCCTACATGGAAGAGGCCTAAACGAGCCCAAGCACCCTCTCACCACGACTACACCGCGATACTACGTTAATAAACGCGCCCACACATGCAAAAGGCGGGCCGAAAATATGCTTCCAGGGTTGCTACCTAGGTAGGCACGAATTCACCAATAGGCTTGTACCACAATACATCTTCAGGTTGGAAAAGCATGTACCGGGTCCCGAACAAACATCAAGCTCGAACGCTACCGGAGCAGGAAACATGAACCTTCGCCTTCGCCTCAGAGCTACGTCGAGGGAAGGAAGGAAGGAAGGGGAACACCAAGACATTCGTATAATTAAATGCTTATTCCTCGGCTCTCCAACTCAAATGTTTCTCGTTTTTTCTTCTTTTCCTGTCTGTTGCTTAGCTTCAATATTGCTAATGCAATGCATATGACATATATCCCATGTCCCATATCCCAACTCGTCCTTTTTTAAGATCGACCACGATCCGTTGCCATTATTACTATTATACTTATTGATGTGCATCTTATCGACAGATTCTATGTCTATCACTTTTACTTAAATACCTAACTACCTGACTAGCCCAATTACTAACCAGGTAGGCTGGCTACATATATATCCCTACCTACCTACATATGTAGGCTCTCCCCTAAGCAAGAGTGCCCCAAAGTGTGTGTGCTGGCTGCATATGTCATCGTTCTACGTACAAAACCAGAATACCTGCTGGGCGTTGCATATGTGCTTAGATGTATGCTGTCGCATTTCATCCGTTTCTAGTTCATCATATTACATTATACCCCTCTTTTTTGGCCCCCTCAACCCCTAATATTCGTCAATTCTGTGCCTAGTCCATCTATCTGTGGTTTATTTTATTTTTTATTTTTTTTATCTTCCCCTCCGCTTCTTGTCACGGCGGTACCGAAGAATTTTGCTGCGTCCGATCCCTTCCCTGGTTCGCGTCGCTTCAAAAGGAAAGGGGCCAGCCGCGCTTTTATTTTTCGTTCACCCCGCCCAGCACGCCCCGACTTTCCAAAACCAGGGCGGCTCTTTATCTGATTGAATTGCTCCTGCTTTTCACATTTTTAAGCGGCTACCTACCTGGATCTGTGGACGTCAGTTCGCACCCATACACATCCACCTCTGACGTTATCCCCCGGCAACTTTCTTGAGCAACCCCCCGGCAAAAAAAGAATACATAAATATTTTTCAACCCGCCTTGGATGACGATACCTCCACCGAACAACAGCCAAAAACTCTCCCAGCCGCCGCTTTGTCGTTTGTCGCGTAAGTGACAGATAGACACGAGCTGACGGACTGTTGGATTTGGATTGCATTGCTGTCCGGATTCGCAATTCTGGCGCCTCTGATGCGCCTTTCATGAGATTCAGGAGCTTGAAGCTAGCTTGGAGCTTAAGCTAACAGCTCAAGCTGCGTTGAAAGAATGCCACCAAGGCAAGGCCGTTATCAATCTGTGTTCGTCTCTCCTATTTTTACTAGCTCGATTGCTATGCTATTATTGTTATTGTTATTCACGAAGCTAACGTTTTGTCTCCTGCGAGTAGCCGGGAATTCCATATTGTTGTGTTAGGTGCAGGTGAGTTTTTTCATTGCAAGCTTCAGTGTGGAATCGACTTTTTTTTCAGGGTCCCTGTCCACATCAAAGCCTTTTCTTTTTTTCCTCTGCTGACATACGCGTAACGGCCGCTAACAATTTACTAGGCGGTGTCGGGAAGAGTTGTCTTACAGGTAATGCTCCTCCTTGGCTGTCAATGATGAGTGATTCCGATTGGATATCAAGTTGAAACAAAACATGATCTATCCAAACATCATGCGTCATTCCCAATTATCAGAAATGGATCTGATTACTGACGGGTCTTTTTTAATTTATGATAGCTCAGTTCGTCCATAACGAGTGGATCGAGAGTTATGACCCGACGATTGAAGACTCGTACCGGACTCAGGTGGCCGTTGATGTAAGTGCAGCTTGCCCTTCTCCCATCTGATTGGTCTGGCGTTAGCCGCTGCTTACACACACGGACCAGGGCCGCCAAGTAATTCTGGAGATGTAAGACATCGCCAACTATGAACACGACTCATCCTTTTTTAATCCTCGCCGCCGCGCTAGCTATGCTAACTTAAGACAGCCTGGATACCGCTGGCACTGAGCAGTTCGGTTGGTCAACACACCGAATATGCTACTTACGCGTGTGACCGTGCTAACTCGGTTTCAGTTGCTATGCGGGATCTGTACATGAAGACTGGTCAAGGGTTTCTTCTAGTCTTTAGTATTACCTCAACCTCGTCATTAGCCGAACTTGCCGGGCTTCGTGACGAGATCATACGCATCAAGGACGACGAAAGTGTGCCGATTGTCATCTGTGGAAACAAGGCGGACCTCGAAGACCAGCGGTCTGTGCCACGAACCAAGGGTTTCCAAATCTCGCAGAGATGGGGTGCACCATACTATGAAGCTAGTGCTCGAACGAGAAGTAAGTGCATTTATCCACTGCCCTTGCATATGCATTGATTCCTACCCACATTTCAAGTTCTTGAGGTCGTAGGTTGGCAAACTAACTTCATGAAGCGAACGTCGATGAAGTATTCGTAGACTTATGTCGACAAATGTTGCGGAAAGATGATGCGGGGGAGAGTCATCTCGAGGATCAAGATGACAAATTCGACCCTTACTCCATATCATACTATAAAAAACGAAGACGGCGAAAGGAACGAGACTCGAATCACCGGCCAAAATGCGTTATTCTATGACCTATTAGCCGGACTCGCCCGTGATGCAAGCAAAATCTCACGGAGTTTTTTTTCTCGCGGCGTTTATCAAGACTGGGCAGTCGCCAAGAAGGCCTGTTTCGAAAATACCTGCAGCTTCAGCCGTGGACATTTTGTACTCTGAGATTCAAGCTCTAGTACAACTCTCGAGCCAAGACAGCAAAGGTTCCTATTGGGCTTCAGGATGCTTTCTAATCTTATTTCTTCCGCGGCGCTTCTTCTGGTCGACATTGGGCCGGGGTTCTCTTTATTTCCAGCAGTTTTTGGGCGAAAATCCTTTCGCATTCTAGGAGAGCGCTTAAGGATACGACGAGTTGCACGTTCGCTGCATTGCATTGATGGCATAGCATTGATCATGAATGATCAGACTACAGTGTTATACCCCTTCGGTATGGCCACCGGGTTCCTTGAGTATCATTACGTTTGTTTTTTGGGTGACGTTTTGGAAGTTTTAAGACGGAGCTTTGAAGAACTGAATTGCGCAGGCAAACTTGTTCCAATCTTCCATTTATGCTGCTACTCGCCAGAGAGAAAAGATTTTTAGGCATTTTCATCCAGGAATATATATATACCCCTCTGCCGTTGACACACTACAAGCTCCTTTCTTGAGTTCTTGGTGATTGGGTTGATTGATAGTCTTGAGTTGCGCCAGCCTTCTTCGGGAACTGAAAAGGTAAAGGGGGGCAGCTCAAAATCATTCGCTTAGGCTAGGCTAATTACCTACACACCTTCTAATGTCTAATGGGTTGATATCTACAAACGCCATCTCACGTTTTGCACAGAAAATATATAATAGGGTATGGTCGATTCTTCCACAACATCAATAGTATATACCTATGGAAGTCGAGCGGATATCAAAGTATTTGGGCGACTAACTTGACGTAAAATATTTTATGATACCGTACATCCCCCAATCTTAGTCAAGATGGCTTGAACGCTACTAGCTTCCACCCTTGAGTGAGTTGGATGTCTTGGTATCATTAGAATGTGGCTACCCCGCTGTGAATATCGTACGAAGCCCACTACGTGTCCCCCGGACTTTCGATACTGCAAGAAATCCCGCCCTCCACTTGCTTAGTCTATACATGTTAGACATCAGAGTTAATAGTGCTGAATATCAACCCGATGAAAAAGGGTACGGTTGGCCTATAGTCTCAGGGAGAGCTACCCGTCTCTAGTTAGTCCAATATGATATATGATATAGCACGACGATCAGCTTAGCCGTGCATTTCATACTGCACAATCGGCCGAATCAACCGGATACTGCGGCCTTAACGGTTTTAGTATTGCAGTAGCCAGGCCAATGGAAGGCGAGAGTTGCGGGACGACGGTAGGCACAGGGTGCTTCTCTGCCATTCCCAGTAGGGGTCCCAATACGAGTTCAGGCCTTGGCAGATTTGGCCTCGAGATACCGCTGCAAGGTCTTTTGTTGGAGGGCACGTTGCTCGTTGATGACTTCCCAGAGCTCCTCATTCTCCTTCCTCAGTTCCTGATCGCCGACGGTGTCCTCGGCCGGGTTCTGGAAGGCGAGTATGGCTTGCTCTAGCGCGTCTTGCGGGAGTCCGTTCGATGTAAGCATCTTGCTAAACTGCGTGTCCTCCGCCATATCGGACTCTAATTGGGAGGTGAAGTCGTAGCTGCGACTCCCTAAAAAGGGCTTGACGACCGCGACAGGTTTAGTGGGTCGCGAGGAGGGGAGCGGGGAGACGAAGACGACGTTCGCGACGGCAGCGTTGACGTTCGCTAGCTCGGTCGAGTCGGCGCGGCTGCTCAGGTCCCAGCGCAGGATCTGGCCTTGCGGGTGTCCCGATACCAAGACGGTGCCGTCGTAGCTCAGCGCCACGCACGTCGCCGGCCCGGCCTCCTGGGGCGCGGCGCCGAAGGCGGAGGACACCTGGATGGCGGTCGAGCTCTCCTCCGCGCTCCGCGGGCCCAGCAGCGCCCGCTCGGCGGCGAACAGATCGATGGCGTACAGCGACCCGTCGTCGGAGGAGACGTAGATGGCGCGCGCGCACGGGTCGAGGGACAGGCAGAGGGGCGAGCTGGGGAACAGAAGAGTCCGCAGGGCCACGCCGAGCTGGTAGTTCCAGACTATGCAGGATTTGTCCCGGCTTGCCGAGACGCATATGTTGGTGTCCGGGTTCACGCTCTGGCCCGCGGCGAGGGAGGTGATGGCGGCTCTGTGATTCGATAGGGTCTCCTGGGGCTCGTGTTCGATGGTCGAGTCTAGCTCCAGCAGGCGGGGAACGGACCAGACATGTATGTTCGCGTCATCTGACCCCGTGATCAGGTGATAGGGTGTAGCAGCTATGCAGGTCACTGCCTGGACATGACAGGCAGGCGTGGTGACTTGCCTGCCGGTGCAGATCTATAGAAGCAATTTAGTGGGCTATAGTTATGGGACGGGGACGCGGGTGTGTTCATATTAGGTAAACCGACCTCCCATATGATGAGCCTCCCCTCTTGTGAGCCCAGAAAAAGCACATCGTCTTGCAAGGCGATACTCCGGATGCGCTCTGAGAAAGTAACTAAGGCCTCCTGGTTACCCTTGGCTCTTGAATACACGTGAACTGTCGATTTCTCCTCCTGAGCTGCGAATACGTGAGTGTCGCTCACGGCCAAACAGTTCCTAGGAGTAGAGCTTTTCTTGAAGGTGGTGGTTGTTGAGTGGCTCGGATGTAGTGTGTGTTCATAAATCCCGGCATCTTTTGCGATGGCCGTATTATTGGCTAAGGGCGGCCCGGCCACGGACACAAAGTAGCTCTCGGTCAACATGGCCTCCTATCCTACTCGATATGGAGTAGGTACCTCGGCCTGGGTAGGGTATTCAATATTGAATACAGAGCCACGGCTATAAGCTATAAATTGATATAGCACCTAGATACCTAGATTTATCGGGATTGGCGTGGTCTGTGTGTCTCTCTTTGCGGCAATCCACTTGGACAAACTTGGAATTCGGAAACCACAGTTTGAGAATGTACCATATGATGCTCTGTTTCGTCTTTGAAGATCTTCGATGTCGTTCCTGTCACTTTTTTTTTTCTTTCCCCCACAAAATCCTATTCGCAGGTTCGATGTTTGACAGACCCACCGACCTGCAGACTGCTACATGCTAAAACGTCCCATGCAGCTGGTGCGTGGCTTACAGGTGGGTCCTGGTCCGGCATTGCGGCGTAGCCTCAGCCCTTGGCATTTTACAGGTTCATATGTGAATTAGAGTTAACGCCTGGGACGAGACTGCTTCAACCCCGCAAACCCCCCCAAAAAGCAAAAACCGATTGTCAAGTCGAGAATCCGGAGTTACACATTTCCAACTCGCTCCTTACCTTTTTAGAAGGGGTTTTACCTAAGCTTTCGTAGTACAAAGCTGTTTCACACGGATTGGGGGTTTTATACATAATATTAATACATAACTATGCAGGGGAAGCGGTGTAGGTGAAGCAAGGTAATTGCGACCTTTCATCATTGTATGAAACTTAAGATATCCATGGACGGCTCTTTTCTAAGTGCTAGATAGTAACAAGAACATAAGTTTCCACTTCATCACATATCACCTTTTACTCCACCATGACTATCTTGAAAAGCGTCAAATAGCTTCCCAACTATCTCTAGTCATGTTTGAGATTGCCCCCTCTTTCGCTTAACTGACGCCATCGTCCTGTACGGCAGACCAACGGCCGACTGCATGTCTTAGTTCGCCGAGAAGCAAAATGTATTCGCAAAGCGGGAACTTGAAGAATTTCAACGACGGCTGCATACGCATGTCTTCTCCAATGGATTTCGCCCTTGTATCCGATATTTCACCTTTCCGGGCTTGAAGCTGTTGTTATCCTGCCGTTCATATACTCTTATTGGATATTATTGTTTATCGGAGGCGGTAGAACCAAGGTAGCTTACCTAGCTAGCTGCGTAGCTGGGCAGGCCAAAGGAGGAGACGCTAAATCCTGCAACTGACGATAGTGTTGCAGCATGTCTGAGGCCTCTGAATGGCCAATCCCGACCTGAGAGCCCCTTCAGCCTCGAAAATAAGGTGGGACCTGAACTGCATGACGATGCATCGTGATCCCTTGCCCAGCCTGCATTTGGATGGAGCGGGAAAGCTTTACACGCAACGTGGTCGCCCGTCTGTCGTGTCGCTTCACAGCTATGCACAGCATCAGGCATCATTGCTCGACTGGTTCGACTAGATACAGCTCTCGTCTGGATGAACGCACTGAACGCAGGGGAAGACAATACCTGATCCCACTTAAAACACGGTGGCCAATAAAGATTAGCGAGCATTAGCGGCCGTACTATAGCATGGTCTACCGACTCTGAATACCTAAGCGGCTAGACAAATATTCGACTCCATCAGGGAGGCCTACTGACTGATCTCGTCGCTACCTATCTTGGTGTAGACTCTGGAGACGGCGTTGCTTTGGCCTCGGAACTTTCTTTCGATCACCCGCAATTGTGTCTCTCTCGCCACCCACCATTCAAATAGTTTATCTGGCGACTTGGTTAACCTTCTCCAACCAATGGGTCTCCCAGCTCTTGTCGGCAACGATAGCGTCGTCAGAAAAGTCTCCGAATCAGGGAAGACTAAAAATATATGGTGCTATGTGAACAGTACGGATTAATCCATTGGCTGATTAAGTCTGGAATAATGTCCAGAAAGAACCGCCGCGTTGCATCGAACGAACTTAGCGTGTGAAATTTTGGGCACCTCAATTAAAATGGCTGATTGGTTCCTGAAATGACCTGGCTATGGTCAATGCTACCCTGGAAGCGATCCCTTGGCGAGAAGATCGGGTGGTCAAGTCGTCAAGTCGTCAAGTCACAAAATGTCAAAGGGTTAACCGCTTGATCGCATGTGGGAAGAAGCAAGGGGTCTACACGTTTTTTTTCCCACTCATGACGATGGAGGGCTAAATGTGCCAATCTAGGCTAGGCACTTGGTTACCTCGAGACATGTCTCAGATCAAATGTCTGTCATACTTGGCTTGCCGTAACTCGGACGGCGGATGGACGCCTTGTGTTGCCTGTGCAAGCCATCACAGCAGCATCAGTATCGTCGGGAAGAATGAATTATTCGCTCCTGGTCGATAATTCCAAGTTAGGGACTTGTGATGGTCGGTGGTCCACATCTTTTTCCGCATTCTTCTAGTGCCTGCGACCCTTCGCCTGAGCGACGAGACCCCTGGCTGGTCTAGGGTCCATGGGGATTCATCTCTTTGTGGAATTACGAACACCACCCACGGAGGGACGTAGCTCCATCCTTTGCTAGAACCCCTGTCCAACGCGCTCGACTTTTCTTGGGTCTTCGAATCCACCTGGATTCTTGATCCAGCGTCAGTGTTTTTTCACGAGACCGCTTTTGTTATTCTCAACTCCTGCAGATTGTCTTCGACGCAGTTTCAGACCTTTTGTCTCTTTTATTTCTTTCCGGAGCTTTGCTAAAAATATAGGCACCACGAACGGACTCCCCGAGTTGATCAAAATCCGCTTCTCGGTGGTTTTCGCATATAGGAAGAGATTTATGTAGGAGATTGTCACTGCCGACCTAGCATTCCCCTGCAACGCCACCAAATCGATCAATTCGGACCCGGGAGCGAAACATCACGATGGGGAATTTCGAGCCGCTTATGAGCTTCAATTTGCCAGAGCTTCTGGCTGTGGATTTGGAAGCGTCGAAGGAGGTTTTTAAATCGAGACAATTGACTGCTGGGGCCCCGGCGCCTACACTAGCCGACGATGGGAGCAAGAGACGATATTCATTACAGGACAGTTCGCTGAGCGCGGCCCCTTCATCCCTGTCATATCATCTAGATATGATGTCCAGGGCTAAGTCGTTACAAAATGCGCATGAGAAAGAAGCTCAATTTTTAACTATTCATCGCAAGTCGGAACAAAACAACAGCGATTCCGACACGACCAGCAGTGAATCATCCGGTGTCTTGATGCCACCGCCGTCGATTGGCACGCGGGACGCATCAATTGCCACAGCAGCCACATCAGTCACCTCGGAAAGGATGGAGTCGTCGAACCAATTAAAGCTTGTGATACAAGACAAGAAGCAAGCTGGCGAGAGTTGGATAGACTTTGACGCTGACGATGCAACTTCTCCGGATCGAAGGTACAGTAGCATGATCAATATCCCGCCACCTGCACATTATTTGCGACGTGATATGGACGAGTCAAGAAGTATGTCTCTTAACTCAGCTTTGCCGCGTCCCAAGTCGACTGCTATTCCTCCCACGTCACCTGCCAGCGTAAAATCTCTGGGTACGCCTGAGCAACAGACTTATGTCAAGAAGCCTCTGTCAAGTCCTACCTCAATTCCAACCCGACGCTCTTCTTTATTATACCGAAATTACCCGGTACTTCCACAGATTAATGTTTCACCGTCTCGACAAAGTTCACCACCTCGACCACCACCACCGACACATTCTGACGCTGGACCGGCAACCCCAGACATCAACATGTCGTCTTCAGCCCGGCCCCGAGCGTTCCGTAGCGAGGTGAATGTGAATGTGAGCGATGCTGCCGACGAGGCAGATGATAGAGTGGATTTCCCCTCAGATTTTACCATGGTAGCAAACGAAGGTGGGCGGGTTTCGCGTGCAGGAAGCACCCAGTATCCGGAAATCGCGCCGGCTGGAATCGATGTCGAATCTTGGTTGGAGTCTAGCGTTGACAACTTTCCTTATTATGCCCGAACCGGAGCCGACGGTGGACATGCTCCCTTACCGCTCCCACCAGAGGTTATCGATACGCTCCGAGTCTCGATAGCATGCTTCCCGGAAACGATGCTTCAGTGCTCTAGTCTTTCCATCGAGACTATACGTGGTCACTCCAGGAAGCTTAGATACAAGGACACGAGCCCTGCAAGCTTATATTCCGAAACAACTGTGTCGGCTGACACTTTGGAGCCAGCAAAACAGTCGAAGTGGAAGTGGCTGCCCTTGAAGAAACTCCCATCGTCTCCTACTCAGACGCCACCTAGTCCGCAACGAAGCGGCCTTGGGGAGAGCTTAGAATCGAGGTTTAGCCCAACCTGGCCTAGAAAGCCAGATTGGACGGCGATTCAGAACCTCTTCCCCACTTCGTCGGATTATCTCTGCGACGCTCTCTATGCTCATATAGTAGCATATAACTATATTACTTCATTATGTCCTCGGTCGGTACTTGCCAATCCAATATCGAGACCTAGCTCGAAGTCCTCGGCCATGTCGGATATGTCACTTGACCTCTCGATGGACCTCCGCACCTCTATCGATATGCGATCTTCTACCTCCGACGGCACCGCGATCCCGCTAAAGGCAGCAAGCTTACTCGGTCTGCAAGAAGATCCGAACGCACCGATTCCCGAACCCCCTTCGTCACGATGCAACACGCTTCGCAGTAAGAGGTCATTTTTCGTGCTACCTAAGTCCGCCTCATTCCACGAATCCATTAGACCTCCGACGGCAGCCGGTTTTGGCGGTCGCCGCCCAACGCCACCAGACCATAGCGAGCAGTTATTGAGGGATCTCCGGCTTGGTCTCGCCAGGTGCATCTCAAGGCTTGTCGCCACACTACGGATGTCTAATGGCGGCCCGTCTGCAGGTACTGATAGTGGGGGAAAGCCGAGACGTGAGGAAGATCCTGACTTTATGCGAGCACTATGTGAAATTGTACGCCTTTCCGAAGAAAGATACATGTTTTAGGATCAATTCACACTCGCGATACTATGAGATAGACGATCGGCTAGTTGCACCTGGACACAATACATTATGCAAAGGATAACGAGTTCTTTCGACAAGAAAAAATCACTTGTTTTTACGCACTCGGCTTTTAGGCATTATTTGTTCACCTTCTCCTAGGTCACACCGATATCTGGGAGTCTTTTGGCTCCAGCTCTACAAAAATTTCGCCACAGCCTATTTCTATGCAGTTTTTACTACGTTATTTACGATTGTCTCGAGCACTTATAACGGTGCCATGATTCGCCATATGCAGAAGCTCAACCGGCCGATTTTACAGCAACTTTATGTCTATCATAATGGATTTTCGATTCGTTCCCACTCTTGCCATCTAGTGTAGGAGATGACTAAAGAGTGGATGGGTTAAGAACCCCTTTTCGATACATGTTGAGCCGTACCCCGAGACGGACAAAAGCAGACGAGAATATTAATCCAGAACGTTGGAACGGCATTATGGAAGGCGTGTATGCAGCATGCTATGTTGACGGAAACATGTTTCAGGGGACGGACACACTCATAGATTTAGATACCTCTCTCATTGTACAAGGCGTATGGGGCGTATTAGGGGGGGGGATGAAAAAGTCGGTTCAGGCAATCGGAGTTAGCATATGCTGTGGACATTTTACTACATACATACCCCAAAAACCTGTCTTTCTCATAGGAGCTATCCCTGACACAGGGAACGTGGAGTCAGGGATATCATTGAGGGGTTTAAGGAGTTTTCCTCGTGTATCAAATCAATGATGATTACATAACATCCAAGTTCTGTTCCAGTGCATCGGTTATTTAGATTCTTTTTTTTTTTCCTGTATTGTCAGTCAGGTCATTATTCATTATAACGTGGTATTAAACATGAGTAGTATGCAAGGGTTGGGCAATGAGAACGAAATTGAATTTCTGTTTAAAAAAAAAATGAGCCTCTTCGTTTATTATTCGAACCTTGACCCCGGGCCTAACAATCTACGACATCGCTCCCGATTAGGCAAGGCCAGCTTGATACCAACGGCTCGTGACGGGGCTATAGCGAGGCGTATTATACATGGCTAGCGCCGTACCGGCATTCTGGACGAAGCCATTTCGGTATCAGAATGTCATGCACCGCGCTGAATCCAGTTAGCCGGGCCCTCCGGGGCGCGGGCCTAGGAGAAACAAAACGATAACTGCGTATGGATGGGGATTATAGCACGTCCTAGGGGGGGGGCTATAATAACAGGCATACACTACAAGCTTGAATTGATCTGTCGCAAATGACTGCTACGTATTAAATGGTACGCTGACATCCATCCATGATAGGTGGATCTTGCAGAGCTCCATGCAGTGCTGAAAGTCCCGGGCAGCCTTAGGTAATAGGACTCATTCGGCCGAGAAGCAGGTGATCGGCGCGAAGATAAAACATCCAAGGGGCCATGACAAAAAAAAAAGTATGTCATCAGGATCATATCCCACGCGACTAGTAGGGAATTCGGGACTTCTTTTCGTTGCTGCTGAAACGTGGTTGCGGGAACTACCGTTGCGTGGGATCCGTCGTACGCACACGAGCCGTCCCTAATTCCGCCGTTTAATTGCTGCGTAGCACGGAGAGGCACAAGACAACCGAGGGCAGGGTATCCTTATCTAGTGTTGGTACCTACCTGCCTACTGTAGCATCCATGGCAATGATGATATCTCAAATACCTACCTGCACTAGATAGGCACCTGGTAGGTATACTATATATATCTTCGTATACAGGTACAAACTATTACACCAATTAATAAAGCAAACCCAGCAAGTAATAACACCACATATAGACCACAATATCCAAAACCCGTACCCCGTGACACCGTGTCGCCGTGTAGCTACCGTGCGGGAATAGGTGGGACCTGCGGAACACGCCTCCCGAAATATAGAATACATACGCCGCAGCAATGCGCGTCTCGGCGTACAATGCCTAACACCCAATAGCATGAACGCCAAACCCACTCCACTTATCACTTAAATTCCATCGAGTCGTCAAAAGGATACCGGTCCCTCAGAATACCTCCGATCTGCCCCTTCTCAGCGAAATCGTCCATACCCGAAAGACCGCTCGACTCTCTCGTGCTGGTGGCCGGCCACGACATACTTCCGCCCCTACTATCGGTGTCCGTGGGATAAGGCAGCGTGCTATCTGATCTACGGGGCAAGTGGTCCACCGTCGGCGTAGCCAGGCGGCCGTGCATGCGGAATGTTTTAGCATGGGCGTTGCTAAGACCCAGTAGGCCAGCCGTCACGAGCAATAGAGCCATGAAGATAATAGACCCGACTTGCGTCATGTTGCCGCTGAAGGCGGCGACGCAATAGACAATCAACTTAGCGGCCGCTTCGAGGTAGCCGTCGAGATGTGTCTTCGCACGTAGCCACGACGTCGTGGTGACGGCTTGAAGATCCTCGGCCATACCACGGAGGCACACGGACCGTCCATGTCCCAGGTCAACGAGATACTCGGTCAGAAGCTTGCTGACGTCAGGTTTCGGCGGTGGGTTCTCGGGAGGTTTCGAGCGGCGCTTGATTACCCAAATGTTGAAGAGGCGGGAGACCATTAGAGCTAGGAGGGACGCCACACCCCACCATTCGCGGAGCAGGATCATAAATATGAAGGCTGTTATGGTCAACACAGGGCTTGCGAGATACAGCACGTGAGACAGCCAGCCCAGGTCGGCGCCTTGGTCTCTCCAGATGGTACCACGCTGGCCAGGGCTCCGCCGCCGTCTTCCGAAGTAATAGTTCCGCTCCGGCATCATACCGACGTCTACCGTGACCTTCCGTCCAGCCAACCCGACACGTTCGAGATACTGCTGCATGGCCGTATTCGTGATGTTATACGTGGATGTTTGACCCTCGTATAGTTCGACGGCGCTATAAGACTCGCTGTGGCCGTTCAGGGCATCCGCAGCCTGTTGATAGTGCAGGCCGGGAGCGAGCAGTAGCGCGTCGAGCCATGACGAGCCCCCCACAAGCTTAGTACGATTCGCAATGGTACCAAGATCTGCAAGCGCAAGAAGACCTGAGGCAGATAATTCGAAGTGCGGTATGGGATATTGAGACCAGTTCGGAAACGAGGCCCCACGCTTCAGTATTGTCTAGAGAAAATCGTCAATAAGTTTGTTCAAGTGAGTGCCAATTTGGAAGTCTTGGCGTACCTCCATCTCTCACTTTCCCAAACCACCTTAAGTGGCAAACACCCACCTAATATCGCCCTTGAACCGAGTTCAAAACCGGGCTCGCTTGGGGAAGATGGAAAACAAGCCCATAGAGAGTGAAAGAAATGATTTACCTAGTGCTACACTGTCTATGGTGTCAGGTAAGGAGCATCGAGAACTCGAGGAAACCAGAGACAAGCTCAAGCCTAAGATTAAATAGGACGGCATCATCAGCAACTACAAGCAGACCTTTCCCTTTTTATGAATCATAGCTCTCTGAAAGGGTTGCAATACGGCGCAAGGCTCTGGTTACCCCTCGCTGATCAGTAGGCTAGGCTGTCTCCAAAGCAACCATAAGCAGCCAGGCATGTGAAGGATCTGTGATAGATTGGCCAATGGCGTCGCAGAAGTCGGATCACGAGAGCCAACCATCGTGCGGCAGGGAGACGGATTTCCACCCCTCCCAGCTCTCCCGAGACAAATAGATAAATGCTATAGCTCCCCCTTCCGCAGCAGTTTGTGGTGATCAGGCTGACATATAGTTCTTGGCAGTTTGCTTTTCTTGGAGGAATGGGCGTCTAATTCGTTTATTTCGTTTATTTCGTGAAACGTGTTGGGGAAGTTTCCAAGGTTTTTTTGTCTTAACTCCGAGTGGACGGACAGCCTTAGTGCCTAGATCTTAAGTTGCATCCATGCTTGACTGACAGCTGACCTGTAGCTGCCATATAGCTCCGGTAGCTCTTGTAGCTCTTTGTAGCTGCCGAAATTCAGCACCTAATTTTTAAGGTTCAACCACCCTACGAACTTCCTATGCCTTCTATTTTAAGGTTGGCCCAATTGAAACTCCGGGTTCCTCCCTGTTAGGTAAAGTTATGCATTATCGGAGCAAAACGGCCCGGATAAAGAACGCCTTATGGTATCGATAAAAGCTCCCAATCCGATAAGTGCGTCGATCCCAGGTCCCCATCCTCTCATTACCTTGATAAACTACCCGGCTCTCTTCTCCCTATCATCAATTAGCATCACTTCGAGGCTGTAGAACCGCCACATGATCACATGAGTAGATATTATTTAACATGACTTGATCAGGATGGCGCCTTCGCAACAAGAGCCGGCCTACACGGTCTTTGTCCGACTCCCATTTCCAAGGGGTGATTTCGTTGATCCGCCGTCTGTACGTAATTCAATTGGTCCTATCTTGGCTCGTCTTACTGCCAAGTTCTAAGAGCTAACTATCACGATAATAGGCGAATTGGGACTCGACTAAAGATGAAGAGCTTTGGAACATCATCTCTCGTCCCTCTAAGACAGAGATAGACTGTAAGTTGAATTATCGCACCTTTGTAGCTACCTAGTACTAGACTGCTACACTTTCCAATAGTTAGCTAATACCGAGATATTAGGGAATGGAATGTGGGTACTAATTCTTATCCCCCCAAATATCGAGTCTTGGCCAATTCATATCACGTAGCGCGAACGACTTCGGTGTCACCGCGGATTTCCTATTCCAACAGATCGCATGGCTTACTGAGCGCCATACGTCCCAAATCCGGGCGCAGATGCGCAAGGCTGCGGCTCTTGCGAAGGGTTCGTTGGCGCCGTCGCCCCAGCCAGGCCCCGAGGGTCCATTTTCAGCAGAGCCCATGCGACGCACCGGATCCGCTGAGAGACCAGGGCGAGCGCCGTCACAGTTATCGATCCGGAAGGAGTCTCCACTGCCTAGGAACGATGGAAGCGTACCCGGCACGCCGGTGAGGAGCACGCCGCGGCCCACCGCAACGCGCACGTCCTCAGCGAACACGGCCGTTTATACGACACGTAATCTAGGAGGCAACAGCAAACCTCAGATAACATCCCGGGGCAACGATACGCAGCGACAACGTCTGTCATCTCTTCCCATCGCAACCTCCGCCGACGACAACGAACAGGAACCCGAGCCGCCGTCCCCAGAGCCGACCGAGTCAAGCGACTCGGAATCGTCATCTTCGAGCCCGGCGCAATCTCGAATCATCCGACGGCCTCCGCGTTTCCAGGGCAACAACGATGCTGCGTCCGATGCCGACGAGGACACCGAGCCCGCCTTCCTACCCTACAACCCGCCGTCGTCGGCCGGGGGCTCGAGCGGGCACGACCTCAGCGCCACATTGCGCGGCAACCTCCCGAGGGACTACGCCAAGCGTCACCCGAAAGGACCTTCTGGAAGATCGGGGCGAATCCATCAATCTCAAACCTCCGATTCATCAACAGGTTCGGCCGCACGGCCCTCGGACCCGAACCGGGCCAGCGGTGGCCCGCTCTCACCTAGGAGGACTATGGAGCTTTCTAACCAAAGCCCCGGCGGCAAGGGCAAGGGGCAGTCACGCGACAGTGATGGGACGCCTAGCATGAGCAGTAGTTACAGTGACCTGGACGGTACATCACCTACCTCTCCTTTCTCCACCCAACCCGGCCCCGACCCAAACCCAAACCCCATCCCTTCTCTCCTAAGGGAGGGGTTGCTAACGGGATACAGACACATCCGTGACGCGATCCGCTATGGAGGAGGAGCTGGCGAGCATGGCCGACGGTACGATGGCGAGCCTCAGAGGGACTCTTGGTGGAACCATTGGTGGGACTATTAACCTGTGGAGGAATAGCAGATACCTTCCCGGGAAGCAGAATCACTGATCAATGAAGCATATGGGATGGGGTAGATTTTTCGCTTTAGCAAGTTGTGCTTTCTTTTCGCGCGCTGTTTTACTCCTTTTTTTTCAAGATTTACGAGAACTTACCTACTTGATCTACTCGGGCGAATCGGTCACGAAACTTGTATGAGGACCTCCATGGATAGGCTGGGCGGCATCTGCGGCGTTTAGGTGCTTGGGGTGCTTGGTTAGGTATCTAGGCAGATAGGCAGGCACATATGCAAGAAAGTAAACAAGTTGTTCGCGTAGGCAGCTGCTGGGTTTGTGTAGGCTATGGATATCTATCTAGGTTTACATGATTGAACTGATTTCCTTCTTGTCCTGTAAGCTGAAGCGCTGTTTAATGCGCTCAAATATTGGATGGCCTTAGTTTTCGTCGGACTGTCTGTATCTCTTTTTCAAGCACAGCAATACCTGTGGCTCGGCTATGGGACTAGGTTAATCGCTCCCTAAGAGTTCCGTCGCTCCCAAATATGATTGCGCTCACGACCGGCACGCTCATAAATCTGGCTCCGAGAAATCAAAGGCGGCCGACTCCTGACACCACTACCTGTAGCCCTGAGGTGTTTCGGGCGCAGGACTTACGTCCCGTGTCATGTTTCTGTAATTCTCCAGCTCAGGGTCGGATGGGGAATCAGTCAATCTCCCCAGATTGCCGCTGAAACTTGGCCGGCCTATGAAAGGTATGCTTGATTAGAGTCCTAACGCGGCGGGTCCGGATAAGATTGGGATGTGTTGGACCTCTTTGTGTCTGGTGTACGCCGCCGCAGAAGACCAGAAGACAGATCGGGTGGCATTGTCGTTTGCAAGACTGCCGGCTGAATCGTCTTCGTAGGCCCCAGCACAGCAACGCTGCGGGACCATTGTAGCACTCGTCAACAGTACGTGGCTCTTGGTGATCCTGAAGGTTGAGAAATGACCTAAGGACCGCATTGAAGCCTGAAGATCGCGTGAAGAAGCGATGTGGTGCTTCTTCCACATGCGACCAGTAGAACATCTTGAAGTACAGAAGGAAAAGAAACGAATTCTTGGTAGTGGTGATTGTATATATACGATGAGGTAATAGGTCTGTAGTAGCTAAGAGCTGATATGTGATGACAGGGCCGCGCCTTTCATCGAAGCTTCTTCGGGGACTTGTGTTATGAGGACGAACTTCCTCCCACTCCTGATCCGACTCCACCTCATTCGCAGCTTCAGGTTCTGCTGTATTTTTCGATGGTATTGCCATCTTCAGGTTTACTTTCATCGTACCAACGTAAGGTCCCGCCTACCCTTCAGGGATAACCACCTCGTTCGGCGTATTCCGCCTTGACGCCACGTGTAGGTCCTTACCTTCCCAAAAGGTATTATCTAGCGGCGTATCGCTTTAGAGTGTCTAAATCCTTCAACTATAATAAAATATCCATCATAGCAGACTTTTGACTGCCCCCCGAAAAACGGAAACAGTGTTTACGGTTGGATTCGTTGGACTGCACCACACCACATGACTTGCCGCGTTCTTCCTTCTCCACTAGCGCTGTCTTCACCATGAACGCGACTCTGAGGCTCGATGTCGGGTGTGTGGTACCGCGGTTGGGTTTGGTTGGAGTGTTTTCCCGGATCGTACGAACGAAACCATAGTTGCTAGAGCGGACCATTCAAGTCATGAGATATTTGGTCGTATTCTCCAAGAGAATACTACTACTTCATGATAGTACTTGAACCAACGAGCGGAAACGCAGGCCTGTCTCGTAGTCTCCATCTTTCAGCACTCTTGTAATGTACGTCAAAATCTTGCGAGCTCTCCTCTGGAACACCGGACTAAAAGTCTCTGATGCAAGAGGAACCGGAGTGGCGTGCGACAGATCTTCCGGTTCCTTCACCACTTATATCCTCCTCGACCACAAATTCCGTCCCAAACACTGTTGTGTTCGGCGTCTTGAGCAATGCCGACACAGCTCATTGGGAATATCCAAGTGTCCTGTGACATGGATTTATATTCGAAAGAAGCGAAACCACGACGTCATGATGCTAATGATTCGTTTTATACAAACTCCCACCGAGGGTAGTAGAGCTCCGACAGCCCCTGAGGCTATGAGCTCACGTTATCAATGGTGATTCAACATGGTATAATAGGAGACGGGGCTGTTCCTCTACCTACGTAGGGCAAGCAGACGAAGATCATCGAGAATGTCCATGATACTGTAAATTAGGAAGTTTCTTGGGCTGGTACTGAAGGACACCTTTCATCGCTAATAGTACTCCTCTGGGATGCCACGAGACGCTTTGATCTATGCTGCTCGTTTCCCGGAGATCATCACATTCTTAACTCAGTCCACTATGATTTACACACCACGTTTGCAAATGTACTGTCGAATAGTCGCTTGGGCGTAGGAAAACACCAATTGAGAAAAAGATACTTGTTGAGGTAAGTGTTTTTATATATATTTACCCGACGCAGGTATAATATAATGAGATTTCCTGCGAATACTAGAAAGTATATAACATGGAAGGGGGAAGTGCACATGAATTAAATATACCTACTGTACTCAGATTACACATCATCTAGCAAGCAACTTTTGGTCATAAAGCTCCTTAGGGGAAATCCATACTAAATCATGACAGCGTGACTTAATAGTAGGTGATTCATATACACTCCATCAGTTAGAAAGCACGGCTCATTAAGTTTGGCAAAAAGGGGGTATCCTCTGATGCATACACAGAGAACGGTTAATCTTACTGATGTTACCTCCAGATGTATCCCCCTTTTAGCCCACCTAGCTGTACGGGGTTATGATGATGAGATTTGTTTGCTTCTATCTAGTTTCTCTTGGCATTGACCGTATGAAATCTTCAAGACACTGTTACATAGCAAGCATACTAGATGCCATCATGGTGCTGTCAGTATAGCAATAAGATGCGAGGCCGTACGAAGAGGACTAGTAACGATTACCTGCGCCATGTTCAGCATGGAAACCGCGCTGCCAGAACTGGTTCTTCTCAGGATACTTAGTAAACTAGTAAATCAGAGATCACTGATCATTCACAACTGGAATTATAGACCACGGCGTAAGACGATATGACGTTAGTGAAGTTGCGGTCGTATCAGTTTCATTAACTCGCAGCAATGACAGCAAGAAAGATCCCTCCACCAAATCAGCTCGTATTCCTCCCCTTCAGATATTTTGAGTTTGATCATTTTAGACCCTTTGAATAGGGGCTAAATGTAGAACTCTCGAGTCATTCCCGTTGGAAAAGCAGTTGCAGAAAATAGTGATGCTTAGATGCCTAATCTCCGTGATCGGGCGATTAGACGGATGGCCAGTCTGCTCCAGCAGATTATTGGAACATGCTTATCGCATAGAAGCATGGTCTCCATCCCAAGATGGTAAGGTCAGAGAAACGGAGATAGAAAACTTCGCCTTCTCCACGTTACTACTCTTGGGGCTTTGGAAAAATGGTGATCAGATCGATTCTTGGCGCGATGAATGCTTAGAACCGATTTGCTATCTCGTGTTCCTCGACTGAGACGATGGCCGAGTAGTTAGTGAATGAAATAAAGCAAGATCATGATGAGACATCAGATAAAGAAAGCAATGTGTTACTTACCATGATCGTGATCACCGCCACGGCGAACAGTGCCCCAATAGCTCCACTTGTTGGCGGAGCGGTCAGCGGGGATAGGCGTAGGTTGCTCGATAGAAGACTTGTCATCATTCTTGATGGTACTGGCATGGTCATCCTTGGGAGGAGGAATGGGCTCGTTCGACTCGCGGCGCGCACGAACAGCGCCAGGTGAAGGGAGTTCCTCGTAAGGACCAGCTGCAGGTACGGAGGATGCAGCATCGGTGATCTTAGCATCTCGGTTCTTACGGGATCGCCAGACGAAGAGACCAACTACGGTGATGATAACCAAGACAACAACGCCGACGATGACTCCGATCTCCAGACCAGTGGGGGAGAAGTGCTTGTCGCCATTACCTAGGACGGCAGGGCTAGCGCCGCCATCGAGCGGCGCGCCCGCATCGTAGTGGTCATCGGGGTTGTTGTCGGGAAGAGGCGCCATCGTGCCGAGATTGGAATGATTGAGAGCGATGATAATAGTGAAGAGATGTGATGGCACGCTGACCAGATTATTAGTCAACCGATCTCAGGATCACGAAAATGGATCTTGTTTGACGTGATGAACTTCGAAAAACTCGTTTGAGCCGAGAAAACGACGGTGATGTTTGGTTAAAGGGGAGCGATGATAGGGTAGATGACGAGAACCAAGAGAAATTGTGCGCCGGTTTTCCTTGGACGCGCGAGATTGATTCGCCGAAGGAATAAAGATTTGAGCGACACAAAGTCTGTGGGAAAAGATTTTTGGAAGTTGAAGTTGGTAAGTTTAGATCCAGATCGTGGGTGCCTGTGTAGATACAGGTGTACCGGTCGTGTTGGAGGTACACCTGTAGAACTAGTAGGTACATATGTAGAAGGGTAGGAGTGATGTGTGTATGAGATGGAAGGGACAAGGGGGAGAATCATCAACTACAAGCTAGGCACATGAATGTCAATCTTGTTAAGAGGTGAGTAGGTGTATGTTAGATACCCCTAACTTATATACAAACGAGATATAAGGGTAGGCACGAGATAGGCACCTACCATCTAGGTAGTGAATTTAGTGACAATCTTATAGTGAGAAGTAAAAATCTAGAGAAGTCTTTCGTACACCCCCTTTCTCCAGATGGAACAAAACTTCACATCATTTCGTCTCATTCACCTATAACTTACATGAACATCCCATTTCCCTTGCTGCAAGGCGACCTAATGGATCCATCCATATAAGCAGCGATTAGATTGATAATCTTCTAGATCACATTGATATCGTAATTTCATTGGTCGTTTTCATTAAAACCTGCCCAGATCGGGAAACCTCTTTTCAGCCAATAATCTTGGGACCAGACTAAAACACCGTATCCAAGTGACGTACAAAGTGCGCGGCTTCGTGCGTCGGCAATGTGCCTACCCGTCCGAAGCACCTAGGTACCCAACGGCTACTATTGATCAGATCAAGTCTGCTAACCCTAGCAAAATAACAGGTTTGTCGGTAGATGGGGTGGGTAACCGGCATTTTCTGGGTCTGGTTTGGCCTCGACTCCAGCTGTAGTACCTGTGTAAGGTATAAATGGGGGTTGTCCTCATCACCAAAAGTTTCTGTGTATCCTTCATATTTTTCCACTTTCTCTATTCTATCCAAAGGCAGAGTACATATCTGGATAGTCATACCCGCCGTTCTTCCTTTTCAATCTCTCCGAATACTTGAAATCCTACCTCAAACTTCCCCTTGCACTCCTGGTGCGGTCTGTTTGCCAATGTCTCAGACACTTTCAATACGACGAGCTAATTATATCTATCCAGGTACGTCACCGTGACCAACTCGGGGAATCACCAAAATAGGGAGCGAGTCTCGGGAGTTTAAGGTGAGGACTGATGACGAAGGAAATTTGGCTCACTTGTCTACCTAGGTAATTGATACCCATTCATAAAACTTCCTATCGAGCTTCCGTATGACTAAATCACTTTCATATGCAAACGGCAGCGTCATCAAAGATGCCAAACGCCTATACCTACTGCTTAAGAGTGGTAACACAGTCTGTTTCAGCAACCGAATAATGCTGGATCTTTCCCTTGGACTCCTCGAACGATTGCGCACTTGGGTTTCTCCCGAAGATAGTAACTCACAACCCTTACTATAGGGATTTCCAATAGCTTTCCAAAGCTTCTATTGTTCGGGCCGAGTCTATTACCTCCTTTAGCCTAAGTACGTACCTTACATCTCATTGTGTTCGTGTTCATGATGGTCTCTTGGTAACGGTAACCATGGGATATCCTGCCGGATTGCCATCTTCGGATCTCGCCACAACTAGCGAAATTACACACCACGGAGTGATCGGGCGGGTGTTTCGGCAAGAGGGAACCAAGAGTTCCTAATCCAGCACTGTTTAGACATTTCCCAAGATGTTCAACATCTGTAAGTTGGGTGCGGAATGTTGGGTTCCAATGTGTTCGCCCCCCGGCGTCTATGCTAGAATAGAACATGGACATCTCATGTACGATGCTTATATATAGAAAGAGAGCCATAGACCTTTAATCCTAATCTCTTTTGAGTGATTCTACATATTAGGTATATTTACCTCGTCGAATGGTATACAGAAGGAAGGCGTAGTACCGTGAGAGGTGAATAGCGTAGGTAGGTAGGATTCAATGACGATAGAACATCCCAAAAACAGGGGTGGTTTCCACTTTTTTACACCAAATTCAGAACTTCCCCTTTAAACGTCTTCGACTTCGCGCGCCTCCGTGGCCCTCAACAGCCCCAGACTCGAAAGCTTTTATAGAAATACCGTTAGTCACCAGACGAAACTCACATTGCACCAAATCTTTTTAATTTCTTCTGAAACCCCTTTTTCGCTTGTCTCGGGCCATTATCCGAGACTGACATAAAGCTGCTTCTCTCTCCAACTGCTGTCTCCCACCCTCGGGTACACTTGCTGAGAACAATGCGTACCTATCAAGAGACGGATATAGGTATGGATAAACAGGATCGCGCTTCTATTGCGTCGCGTCGAAGATGATTCTATGCCCGCAGTTTTCCTTGCGAATCTTACGTTTGAAAGCGAATTTATCTACAGAGACAGCTAGCTATCTCGTATGCTCGAATAAGGAACTAGTATTGTTAAGTAATCGACACCATACAGACATGCGAAAGGAGAAAAGCGAACCTGATTGAAGTCATTTTCGCTTTTGCCGAAGCGATTCACGTAAAGATTAGGTAGGTCTCCTCCTGCCGGTATACGTGAAGCCAATCGGCCTGGTCTCGAAAGCAAGCTGGGTTCCGTAGCGACTACGCGACGACCTATCGGTATAGATGAGTACATCTGAGTACCAATGCATGCTTTCAGTCCTCCGAATAGTAAAAATCTGTATATACGTCAGCTAAACCAGCCTTAACAGAAACGAATTACCGTCTCAAGCCTATAAAACAAGCACATATCCATTTCAACCACAGCGCACGAACTAGAGGGGCAATTAGTACGAGTAGGCAGTTAAGAAGCAGCAGAATGTGCCAGGTAGATAAACGTGGTATCTCATGGTTCCCTAAAGGACAGTTGGATCCATTCCCTTCCATTCCAATGCTTATCCATAGACCTTTATAATCAGAATGATGTGGACTCCCACTCCCTTGCAAAAATGTCCATTGTGTCTTCAATATCAAATGCCCAAACCCATCCGCGCAAAACGCCGCCTTTGAATGCTTAGCCCATTCCTTTTCTGGTATCCTCATGTGCGATCGAACGAAGTCTCATTATTTACTGCCTCTGCTTTCTAAGCACCGAGGCTCTTCGCGCGATCGAGTTCGTCGAGGATCGGCGATTCGGTGCTGCCGCCGTGTCTGTTACGGGGGAGAATGCGCCCGGCGGAGCTGACGCGCGATTACGGTTCGGGCTTCGTTGGCTTGGCTCCTGAACGCTCGAACGCTTCTGTAATCTACCACCCGCGTAGACGGCCGGGATCTTCTCGCCGGTGTCGGTACTCGAACTTCGATCCATCACAACCCCCTTCCCCTTCTCTTCATTCGTCGGCTTCTTCTTGCCTACGGCTAGAAGAGCCAATCCGGATGCCCCAGAGGCGGTCGAGCGGGCGCTAGCCCAGTTATCGGCTACCGACTTCGTCTCGTCCATCATCATGAAGACTATTCCAGACAGGAGGCCGAAGAGAATGATAATAGTGCATATGGCTGCGCCTGCTCGGTCGCCCGAAGTTGTCGGCCCATATAATCTTCCAGAGGGATCCACCCGTCCGTCATCCGAACCTCCTGCCGAAGGATTACCAGCACTAGTTCCACCGGTGCCGTTGGTGACGGGCGCTTCAGCTTGTTGGATCATGTTGGCAAGTACCACCTCCAAGGCTGCCATCTGCTGTCCAACGCCAGTCGTTCCATCCCACTGTCCGCTGTTATTCGCCCATTTCAAACCACACATGCGGTGATTATCGCCACCTGTGCATTGCTTCGCTGCAGCTATGGCAGAATTCGATAGGAGCGTCTTGATTCGGTCAAACGTCCACGGTGCCCACTTCGTCGTCGCTGCCATCCATCGACTCAGATATGCCTTAAACGATAACTCATCCGTATCGCACAGGTTAACGGGCTCGCAGGCAATCTCGATCATAATCCTATCCGCGGTGTCATTTCCGTAGAAGAAAATTTGCTCAGTACTGTTCAAGATTCCGTCGACCCGTTCACTCCACATTTCGACATCGCTCGACTGCTTCGTAGTAGTGTTAGAGTATGCCACCATAGCAGCAGTTCCAAGGAGGAATGCGCCGACGTTGTACGAAAATTCGTAGGGTGTGATAGTAGTGCAATTATCCTCGATATGGCCTCCGTCGTAAATCCTGTAATTACTGTCGATGAACTTCACACCAACCATCCAATCCCATGTTTTAGTGGCCCAGTCGGCGTAGGTACTGTTTCCAGTGTAGAGCGCTAGTCGCGCGGCAATGTTGAAGAAGCAGGCTTGTGAGATGGAATTCTTGTAGTCGAAGCCGTTGTTCCACGTGAAGATCTGCCAACGCAGTCCGCCATTGCAGTGATCCGGATCCCAACGAGCAGCTTGGGTGTTGAAGACGGCTTGGGCCAGTGCCAGCCATCCCGGTTGACCTGACGGGGGATTCGGGAACTTGTACTCGGCCGCGGACATCACGGCCATTCCCCAAAAGCCTTGATCATCATTACCTTCAGTTAGTGTCTGGTTAGGCGGCATGTAGTCATTGTACGGGCCAACTTGGTGAAGTAGACCTTGCGATGCAATGTCGTTGTAAGCTGTGTCTCCAGTGTAATACCAGTAATCAACAAATGCGCCCATCAATGCGCCACCCTCCCACCCTAAGGCAGTGGATTAGTATCTATTGAGTTTTTGAGCTCTAAAGCGCGGCAATAATACTCACAATAGTACGGTTGTGGGAGAAGACCAGGGGTTTGACCAGGTTCGTTGCCATTGTAGAGCGACGCCAGATCCTGCGCCATTTGCTTCGAGACATCTTTGATAGAATCTTCAAAAATAGTCAATAACGCGAATCCAGGCGAATAATAATAATATGGATGAATTCGGACTAACCTGTTGACTGTACATCAAGGTCGTATGTTGCGACTAGAGTGCTGGCGATCAAAACCGAAGCTGCCGTAAATACGGCATTCGGCCAAGAATACCACATCCTCGATGACTTTTAAGGTCAAATGGAGACCAGGTAAACGAAGGAAGTCAAGTCGAACATGGAGATTCCAAGATAGAAAAAAAAAATCCGCAGACCCAATTAAAGGTGTAACATTGCAATTAAGCAAAAAAGAGGTTACCAACTGACAGGTTGGGCGTAGGGTATTTGGTGGTACCTAGACACACGAGAAAGTCGTGTGATGATGTTGGTATTTCGTCTGAGTTGTGTCGGTTGGACGAGTTGAATAACGACAGAGAATCCACGAAAAAGCGCAGAGGAATGATGACAAAGGATGATGTCGACTCAGACTAATTAAGACAGAGATACAAGAGATACCCAGCCTCACCAATTACATACGTGATAAGGCAAGTATCTACATATGTAGAAAGGGAAGAGCATTCGATTTGTCCTAATGAGGAAACTACATTCCTGTTGAATGCTCCTAAGTCGCTCCTAATGCTGCATATCCTTCGTTGAACCCACTAATTGCGGGAGTACATAATACGTACGAAAATAAGCAGTAATCAATGTAAATACGAGGAATGCCCCGCGAAAAATCTTCAATTGGACTCAATTAGACAAGGGTTATAAGCTGAATCGTTCGACCTTGCCGATATTTATTGATTTGAATGCGGCAGGAGTTACCCATGTGGTAGAGGAGGTAGGAAGCTGGAGCTAATAGAGAAAGAACGAAAGACGATAGGAAAATAGTTGAGAGGCGCTTACCGTTAGCCTTATGAGCCGTCTCTTTGTCGGTGCATTTCTATACGAAAGTTGCTACTCATTTGTTTCCTAACAGATCGGAAGCTTCAACCAGCTAAAAGAGCTGAAAGCGCCAAAGTTGTGGACCGGCCTTCTCGGGTTTGAAGCCCCAGAAGCTCTCGGCCACTACCGTGGACACTAATGCGACTGCTACGTTGTATGTCGTAATGGTGTTACTTATTCAAACATTAAAACTGTTTGGATTTGGCCTAGTTGATTGGTAGCCGTCTTCTGTCATCTTTGAAGCTCTCTGCAGCTCTTTGCAGCTGAACCAAAGGATGTCAGGCTTCAGGGTGCCGAATAGCCAATGGTCCTGTCAGCTCGGCGATATCTCTCGCGGATGTGCAGATGTGAAAGGCTATTGAAAGAAGCGACAGAAGCGAAGGCGGGGAAACATCGATAACAGAAAAAAAGATAATAATTAACGTGATCTGCGTGATCCAATCTCTAACTATACGAGAAATACAACATGAAATAGAACGAAATGTATGCACTATCCCGTTCTGCACATAGCATATCGAATAGCAATATACTATGTAGGACTAGTTAGTAGTGGACCTGTCTAGAACGACGGTAGCGAGACCCCAGATTCAATTAAGTACCTCACTTAAAGGAATCACTTGAATGCCAAGCTTCACGGAGATTGGCCTGTTTCGCTGTGTCCGATGGAACTCTATTCACATTATTGTTAGAGAATCTCATGTTTGCGATCGTGATTGCGATTATGATTGCGGATGTAAAACCACAAACACATCAAGTGATGGATGATTGCTGTTCCTGTATGACGTCGCTGTTCATTTTTCGATTTAAATCCGAAGAGACGGTCGATCTCGATGAACATGCTGGCATTGATGTAAGGCTTACGCCATTATAGTGGGCTCCCAACACTCCATCGGTTTGAAATCCAGAGAGCCGCAAGGACAATCAGCCGAATGGATTGACTCTGCAAAATACGTTAGGGGTTAAGTTGCCGTAAGCCTATTGTCATTGGCCTGTATGGATTTGATGTGATGACAGTTCTCTTTGTAGGGCAATGTGCCCATTCAGACAGTGAAGAAGTCAATGCCAATATCAAATCGATTAGGACTGGCAGATTGGCTGCTGAAGAGTGTGGTTTGTTGCTATCCGAAGTTGCTGTCGAAGAAATTCCAATTGAAAAGCAATATCGCAAATTTGTGCTACTGTGTAGTATTGATCTCCTACCAAGTCTAAGTTTCGAGGTGCTGGTTGTGATGTTGGAGAAGGTTGTGCTGTCCCTTGCTTATGTCCTTGGGGAAATTTGCATCTTTAAGACCCTTGAACTTTGATGTTAATATGTTACATAGTAGTGGCTCACTTCCAGTCGAATCTAGCCGGATTTATTTATATCTTGACGAGAAACGCGTTGACTGGTTGGGCTTTTACCTAATAGACTTCAATTGCTGACGTCAGGCTCTTCCAATCGAACATAGAGACAGACATAAGGACAAGCTGGAATCGTCTAGCGTTTAGGTGTTCGGGGGGCAGAGGCAAAGGACTTTTGCAGCGTTGTAAAACCATCGTAAAAGTTGACAGGTTGAATCCTGTCAGATGGAGATGCGTAAGCAATCAATGGCAGTGGAATCAAGCTTTTATTAGATTTAAAAAAGTTAATTAATACAGTACTGGCGATCTTCAGGCTCAATCGGCATATTCGGCAGCAAGTACGTAGAATTGGCAAGAGGAGAGATCACGTGGGATAATACGAGAATCACGTGATATCTGAATAGCATAATATTGTCCTATGTTGTTAGAGAATCAAAATTTCAACTCCATCAAAAATCATAAGAAGTTAATCTACCTAATCATACGGCATACGTCTCTTGCATCGCTAATGCCGGCTGACTAGAGACGGATATATTTGCGGCATACGAACTCCGCTTCCTGTATGTAGGTATCTATGCGTTTACATCTCATGTAATCCTAATTTTGTTAGCACCACTGCCATCTACGTTGAGGGGAACGGTAGGGATCGACACATTGTGGCTTCACGGCCCCGAGAACGAAAAAAACCGGGGAGGCGGGGATATCAAGCACTCCGCTAGCTCAAGGCGGACCAGTCTATTCTATTAATACGACAACGTGGAAGTCATATCCCAAGGGTAGTACCGGTTATCATGCCGAGTGGCTCTCCGGTGGTTCGCCGGCAAAGGGTCGGAGACAGGACGCTTTTGGCGATATTCCTCAACGCCGCTCTAGGTAAGGCTAGGCAACATCGGTAAACTCGCCAAATGAACTCGATCGCTACGCCGCTCTATGAATACACGTGAAGCCCTTGTGTAACCCAAGTATCAGCTTATACAATACGACTCGGCAATTTCGCATCATATTACTTCGATCGGTTGACGTGGCCGCCGCAAAGAGACACTGATCCAACTCCACGAGACCAACGAAGCTTTCTGTGCCTCGATGCAACACGACCCGATTAAGTAATAAAAATCACTCCTTGCACGAGTTGGGATGGTCTGGATGGTGTGGGATCCATAGGGCTGAATGAGGGTGAGTCTGTTGCTTATTTCAGCCCAGGGGGAAGCGACCCGATTGATTGGCTATAACCACGAGCTGAGCTCAACGCCTCGCCGCTCCGCCAATGCCGGTACTCGCGCTATCGAAATATTGCATCGGGTGTTCGTACGCTAGACCAACAGCAGATCTCATGTAAAGACTAACAAGCTCTGAGATCGCGATGACACTCTCGTAAACTAAGCCTTTACACGTCGTCTCGAAGTGTCTTAGTAGAAGAAGGATGAAGGATCTCACCTCATCCACTGTGCAATCCAACGTCCTAATGATCTCACAGACGAAGACGATGTTAGTTTAGTATGCATTACGCAGTACAGCTCGTCCGCCTGTCGAGGCTGGACGTGGCTTTTCCCGGGAAAATCCTTCGCAATTTCCACCCATAAGCCGCCCGGGCCATCACGAGATCCAACTGCAGATTGCTATTCGCCCACCGGGGAAGAAGCAAGGCCTAGCCAAATTGCGCTCGTCAGATGGCCTCTGCTTTTCTCCACGAAAAAAAGAAAGAAGCAGAGGATGGCTAGATTAGTACCACTCGACGCGAAAGGGGGCGCCAAGATAATATATAAACCCCCAGGCACCTCATTGACGAAGGGAAAGACATCATCCAGCACAAACTAATCATCAAGACCTGCATCGACAATCTTCACCTTGAATCAAGACTTCGCCTGTCCAATTACAACCACCAACACAAGCCACAATGCAGACCTTCACCTTCCTCACCGTTGCCGTCGCGGCTCTTCTCCAGGGGTAAGTCTTTAGCGCCTCTTCCCTTCTTCCCTTCTTCCCTTCTCCCCCTTACCCACACCTCCCAAGACCAGCCAGTCATACTAACACGCCACAGCGCCGTCGCCGTCCCGGCTCCCGAGGTAACGCCCTCGCCCACCTCTCTCCCGGGCCACTACGAATGCACGTCCATCGCCACCGTCACCACCACGACGCGCCCCCATTTCGTCTGTGACATCGTGTGCCCCACGCCCAAGAGCACCTGCCAGCCCGGCGAGCCGACCCTGAAGCCCGTCACCAGCTTCACCACCACGCCGCTGCCCGGCTGCACCGTCTCCGTCGTGGACCAGATGCCCGGCTGCGGCTGCGCTTCTTGCCTGGCCCCGCAACCGACTGCTTAAATCTGAGGCTATTGGTGTGGCTTACGTGTATCGAAGTCTAATTAGACCCCTACTTGGTAATAGTAGGGGCATTGGTTCGAAACTCTTTTGCATGGGGAGTATGGGCATGAAGTGGTGAATTTCTAGGATTCGAGTGGACTTGGCTTGGGGCATATATATAACATGGGTATCTAGGAATGGGAAAAGTAGACGGTAAAAAGGTTCGCAACCTGTACTTAGTGTTTATTACATATTGGGCCAATTCATTCATTTATTGGATGCGAGTGTCGTCGTGACTTTCTGAGTTCTTGCCAAGTGAGCTTCCAGTTAAGTGAAAGGGAGAACTTGACTTACACAGATTTCATGCCAAGGACCTACCCCTGTATCCAGCGGAAGTTCTTTAACTAGTACTCACAATGCCACGGGCTTTTCTCAGGTCAAAGTAATTCAGCGAGAAACGTCTAGCGATCTGACAATCAAGGATATTCTATGAGTACCTAGTACCTAAGGTAAGTATTGATACAAGAAGAGAGGGCTCATCTACAGACAGCTACAGCTCCCATATATAACTGCCACACACTTCCTAAGCTTAGTGGACATTGGTAGAAATCTATTGCAAGGTCATTATCTAAGTGCCTAGAAACTTTGTTAACCTTTAAATCACTGTATGCCACTGTATTACAGCGGCTCAAATCTTTTATTTGAATCAGTTACGGGAACCCCGCTTAGCACCCCAACTTCCCTGTGGTTTGGTGTATTGAATAGGTACACTTGCTCTAATGGTCAGTTTTTGGTTACGAGCCCCGCCTTATAAGTCTGGTTTTCTTGAGGGCTCATAACGTCCCCAAGTGGAATACATAACTATAGTATCCCTTGTAACTTCGAATATTACAGGCTGAAAACAACCCCCTATGACTGGATGGAGTCTGAACTAATACAGGGGATTGAGCACTCTGTTGCAGCCGAACCAAGTCAACTACAACAGGCTATAAAAGAACGATACACCATTGTGCAAAATAAGGACTCAACAGCCAAACCTACGCTTCCACCGCCTAGAACCGCACTCACTATGGTGTTAAATCTCCAGCATTCTCAGTTGCCTTACTGAAGGAACTTGCCAAATGCCACCTATCCTTCCCCGAAGCTGCAAAGCTTAGGCCCTGAAAATTATTAAAGATGGAAACAACAGTAGAAACGGTGTGTTTTGTTGCACGAGGTTTCTTTAATTGTCCTGAAAGCTCTGAGCTATTAAGCAGCCTTAATAGCTTTAAGAAGTCTATTATCCTTTCAATCACAAAGGATAGCCTAGAAACTATAACATACACTACAGTATCATATCTTAGCAGATTTGGTGAAGTTTTCGGATGACTGGTTCAGCTACTCATATAAACCTACAGGAGATACAAAGCTGAACTAGCTGTGTGAGAATTTCACCAGATTTGTCAAGGTATAGCAATGTATTCTATGCTATAGTTTCTAGGCTAACCTTTCAAGCCAGTGCGATAGACTATTTCTCAGTGATCAAGGCTGTTTATCTAAGTAATTAATATCTCAAGGCTCTTAGTGTAACCAAAGACGTCTAGTACAAAGAAGGCGATCTAATAGTCAAGAAAAGCTCTTCTTCGGCTACGAGTAAGGTCTGGCGAGTACGACCTAGGCTCGGGCAGCCGTGACTTCAAACATATGAGAGCTATATCTGTCACGAGGCGGAACTTAAAGGCTAGTAGGGAATAATGTTGTTGCACGAAGGGCTCTAACTAATCCCTTCCAGGGGATGCAATATATATATCATATATAAACCTTCCTTTGTCTACAGCCAAGGGTTAACTGTTAACATCGCGGCCTTGTATAAGCCGACTCCTGATCCCTCTGGGTTACTAGCTAACCCTGGCGAGACCTCTAACTATCAGCTCTCACGGAGGCTTTTAGCAATATCAATAAAAAGGCAAGTATATGGATATTTTACAGAGAGTGATATCATATTATTAAGTGATATGACTATCATAGTCCACAGACTTAACCTTGCAATTAATGTTATCAGTAGTGAGACGTGTTGTTTTCCCATTCTTACTAATAGCCTAAATCCATCCCATGAACATGTTTTTCTTTGCCATTCATGCTGAGGCTCTCTTCGCTCTAGGGATGGAGTTATACGAAAGTTATGTGAGCAAGTCAAGTGCATGAGAACATGCACGAAAGGGCGTGCTTAACAATAGCCCCCTGGAGAGGTTATGAGATTTGAGTAAAAGTGATCCAAGTGTGTTTAATAGTTGACTATTTCACAGGCGGCATTCGCATCATAGTATCAAAGCATATATTCTCCAGTTATTCTCCTTGAGCTATAGCCCTCTTGCCCCATCATCGTGATCTTCACCTATTCTATACTCCTAGAAAATACATTGTAGGGCTTTGAGCGTATGCACCTAGCTAGTCTAATAAGGCCTTTCACGTTGCCTACGCAGCATATGATCGTTAGACATGCTTTCAGGTGTGATAATCCTGTTCTGCTTCTTAAACATTGACAACTATGGTGATGAAAATCAAAGAGAATATAAACCGAGCAGCATTAACGAATCGCCTTTAGAGGAAACACGCTTGCAGCAACGCCGCAATTATATTCTAAGAGAATTGAATAAACCTCCTGATTCAAGCTTGTCGGAATGTATTTTAAAACTGTATTGCAGTAAATATTAAATAGGACATTGTTGTTTTCAGTCTAAGTTAGAATATATCTGTTTAGCTCGAAAACTTAGGTATTGAACGAGAAAAATCACAGGAAAAGGGAAATAAGAAAATGGACAGAACGGATCGGTTTCTTTCCTGAAAATTAACATATACCTACCAAGGTAGACAAACATTTTAACTTCAAAGAGTTTTTAAGAGGTCACTAAGAAAACATATAGTACATATCTTAACTCATACAAGATAACGCCGTCTAGGTACACAATCTTTGGAACTTCATAAAACGACGAAACTAAACATCAAAATAAGGTTAGTTATCAACGTGAGTAACTTACTGTATCGATAGTAAAATTGAAGAACCATTTGCTATTAATAACGGCGATGTCCTTCTAGAACATTATACGACCCTATAGTTAGAGGTAAACTCTTATTAATGAGTTTAACTTGTGGTTTATTCCTAGCGAGTTATAAACCTTAACATATATTTGTTCATATCCTCTCTGTGAACTACAAAATCACAACCTAATTGATCTAAAAGTAGTATATATTATTAAAACAAAGCTCAATGACCTTTCAAGAAAGGAGTTGGACAGGAGTGATCACCTCGCCGTCACCATTTAGGTACGTAATTGAACAGGCGTGTTACCGGTACTATAACTTTTAGTGGCATACTTCTTGTAGAAGTCCCCTGAAAGGGATGATAAATGGGTGGTGTAGTGTGGAGTTCAGTCAATCTTTAATATTCATGGATGTTGGCTTCCATACAGCAGTAGAGCTTATATCAAGTACTAATCGGTTTTTGGCAAAGAGAATAGGTATTGTATTCCTTTTGCCTACCTAATATCCATTGATATATGTGCCATCTAATTCGACCCCAAGTTACCAATATTGTCTTGTTTGATCTTGTCCTTGATGGAATTCGAGAGACCGCGTCCTACGCCTAAGACATCCATTTGATTTCGAGGTGTAAGAGAGGCTGCTCAATACTACCCAGACCGGCAGGCCGGGAGGATTTTCTACTCCTACGCCGCCGTTGCCTAAAGGCGCTTATGGTTTATTAACAACCTATTGCATGGCATCTCGCCGTCGACTGAGGACGCTACCTTGCATACGTAGGTACCGATTGCTACCTACATGCCGTGAAACGATCAAATATCAGCCATCTTATCAGATCATTGACCAGCAAGTAGAGACGTATTGAAGCCACTCTGCCGCTTCCCTTCGATGTCTCGGCTGCATGCATATGTAGTGTAGGTACGTAGTAGTCGCATCCAATCCTTCTAGGTGCGTTTCTACAAGTTTCATCCAATACCATCACAGAAATATACGACTGTTTCTTACACGCTGCGACTCGGCATATTAGAACAACATGCGCTTTCTGTGTCACTCAAATCCTCACGGATTCTGCGACTGCTGCCTCAACGTAGCGCTAGATGCGCTCCCCATACTGCACGATAATCCTTCTCCGCCCGGAGATCTACATGATCGCATCTAATCGGTGTACGTGATGAGGCTTGCAGATGAAGAGGCATGCTGACGCCGCGGATAGTCTCAATTGTTGCAGATTTTACTTTTCATCGTCTAGATGCTGTTGCTGGTCGATTTTTGGCCTGGGATTCACCCAGCGGCTTCTAGGTATGCTAGTAAACGTGCGGATGCTCGATTAATTGAGCGGAGCCTTGCCAGCGTAAACCCCACCTGTTCCGATCTCGATCACGATACTCCGTTCCCGGGTCGCTATGATCTAAACTTTAATATCCATCAATATCCATTGTAATCGCACTGACAGTTTGATTGCTGCAGGCAGTGACGAATAGAGCCTTAAGCGAGCTGGCGATGTGGAAGCGAGATGGAAGCACTGGGCACAATGTGTTCTTACCACCGGCTTGCTATGGATACTGGGATCTGACGATATCTATTTCGATAATCGACAGTCAAAGCGCTTCATCCAAGTAAGGGTTGACCTGGCCCTCGCCTATCCTCCAAGGTGAGTATTGCCTGGGTCATGATATGCCCTTCTACCCCTTTCCCCATACCCACTCGGTTCTGCACCCTAGACATTTGGACTCCTTGTATGTCAATCTATTCGGCCAACGGCAAAACTGACCCAATCTGTCAACATTTAGCCTATGCCGCGAATGCTTTTATCGTGACTAGGTAAGCAGCTTACCTGATCTATGTAGTTCATCATTTAGCGCTTGGCTTGTTAATTGGGCCATGTAGAGGATGTCAAGGCCCTGCTGAGATGGCTGGATGGGTTCTCTACCTACAGTTGCCATTTTGAGCAAACACTGCAGAGCTTTATTCGGCAACCTCTCGCTATCGCTGACTCTTTTCTGGTACAATATTAAAGTTTCTTTTCCAATAGATGTAGATGATGGTCCCCTTATGGTAAATATCATTTCTAGAGCATAGTCTGTAGATAATTGTGATGGTCGTATGGCACTTTAGTTTTATGCTTCTCGGAAAGGACGAGCATCTCCGATATGGCCACTTGACAACTCCGAGGTAATCTAGCCCCTGAGTCTGCTTGAGTAGCTTCTTGCTTTGACCCTTCGTTATTACATAGTAAATTCCTATGTATCTTAGTCGCTTCGAACTACATCTGAATCCCATGTATCGCTCGCCTCTGCACTTATTCATTCTCTCTGAAGTACATACTTAGATGAAAGCTCATACGGGCCGATCACTTTATATCCATCCCCTAGCATGTGTTAAACACCGAGCTTCTCCACCGATTCTGGCAAGAATTGATCCGAGAAGCGAGGACTCGTGGAAGTCTCAGATTAAGCTGCCCAAAATGACTAACTAGCAAGGTAGATGATATCCATGCTGCCATGTTGACAACGGTGTTTTCCGTGGCCGATCGAACTTTGCGAGACTGGTACAATACCGTAGCAGTTTTGCATCGTATTCTCCTATCGTGCATCCCGGGACACGTGCTACATAGCTGCGAATTACATGGTCCCTAGCGAGCTGGCCTGCCGATCTGTGATGCTCTTACAGTGTGGTAACATAGAGGTAACATTTGACATACTGTATGTAGTTGACGACTCCCTGGTAGCGATTCTCGGCATGGCCGATTTTGGTTAAGCAGACTCCACGCTGAGACCCTGCAACAACGGGACGGCCCCCGGCTATGCCCTTGCCTAGTGTCAGCATCCTGGACAGAACAAGTCTACGCTATTTCCCGACAAGCCAGGGGAAAATTGTACTAACCCCCACACGCTATTTTGCTTCTCCGAGCCTGCCAGTAATTGTGATGTGGAGCCATGTATAGCATGATAATAATGCTGGGTACACCAACGAACGTATTTCCATCCTCGGCGATTTAGATTCTAGACATTTGGAACGTATTGTTTAGAGAATGACAGAGCTGAGCATTGAAACCCATATAACGTACCAAAAATCGTAAACTCTCCACCAGAGCTCCAGTGGTCTTACCCAGAAAGAACTGATCTACAACTCGACCTCTCAGTGATATCCAAAGAAGACAGTCCTTGTAAGGGAGAGGCACGGTAACGCTCACTGTCGGATTTAGGAGTGGTACGCAAGACCGTCCCTGCATAGAAGGATACATAACATAAAATTGAAATAGACAGCAATTATTTCTGCTATCAGTACCTATAATAAAACAGAACAAGAAACCTAAGAGTTACATTGAACTAGAATACCATTACTCCAATCACAATTATCGATCACCAAACCCTTCATTCATAATGAAAGCCTACAAGTTAACCCAATGGGGCCAACCGGGCCAATACGTCGACGTGCCCAAGCCCGAGCCTGGGCCAGGCGACGTCCTCATCCGCATGAAAGCCGCCGGCCTCTGCCGCTCTGACCTGGACATGGTCGACAGCAAGCCAGGCTCAGCACCGTACGCCAACTCGCTCGAACCAGGCTACATCCTCGGACACGAGAACGCAGGCTTCGTCGAGCAAGTCGGCACCGCGGTAACGGACCTGCAAGTCGGCGAGGCCGTGGTCGTGCACCACATGCGGCACTGCGGCAACTGCGAGTACTGCACCGACAACGCGGAGCAGCACTGCGAGGCCTTCAAGCGCAACGCCATCGGCCTGACGCGCGGCTGCGGCATGGATGGCGGACTAGCCGAGTTTCTCCTCGTCCCGCGCACCGAAGTCATATCCATCGGCGACGCCGACCCGGTGCTCTACGCGCCGCTCACCGACGCCGGCGTGACCGCGTACCACGCCATCCAGACCGCGGTCCAGCGCCTGAAGCCGGGCACCAGCGCGGCGCTGATCGGCATCGGCGGGCTCGGCACCTACGGCGTCCAGTTCGTCAAGCTGCTCTCGTCGGCGCGCGTCTTCGCCGTCGACAACGTCGCCGAGCGCCTGCAGACCGCGAGCGAAGTCGGCGCCGACGAGACCGTGCTCTTTTCGGGCGACGGCGCCGATGCCGCGGATCAGATCATGGAGAGGACTGGCGGCCGCGGCGTCGACGCGATCATTGACTTCGTGGGTACGGCCGGCACCCTCAAGCTCGCGGCCAAGGTGTCGCGGCCTAGGGGCCGCGTCGTGCTCGTCGGGATGCAAGGGGGAACGCTGGAGGTTGGCTGGGGCCTGCTGGCTACGAGCTGCGAGTTCGCGATTAGTCTGGGGAGCACGCGCCAGGACCTGCGGGAGGTGTGTGATTTGGCGAGGAATGGCAAGCTGAGGATCGATATTGAGAAGTTCAAGTTCGATGATCTGGATAAGGCGTACGAGGCGTTAAGGAATGGGACGCTGAGGGGGAGGGCGGTTGTGGTGTTCCCGTAAATACCTACCTCCTACTCAGGGGTGCCTTGATAGCTGTAGTTTTGTTTTTACGAGCAGCATTTGATAGAGAAAATAGATACATACTATGTGTAAACTGCCTAGGGATATGGTCTCGATGCTGTCCATATGTGTAGCGAAGTACACGCAATGTTCATTATTCCCTACCTAGGCCGTGTTCACTTGACGATTATTACTAGCTTTGCTATAGTACAGTAGTATTAAGTGAGTTGATCCCACGGTGTGTCAACAGGGTTTGCAGCTTACGTAGTCTTCGTCATTCCAGCCCTTGTACTTTTAGCTGCAAATTCGAGGTGTTCTAAAAGTCCGTAGAGTGCAGAAGTGAGTTGCAGGATTATACATTACTATTATAGCCGTTATAGATGGGGCTGCTAAGTACTAGTTCAGTATAACAAAGGAAACTTATTTTAGTTAAAGATAGTTTTTCTTCTAATATCGGTGCAGTCTAAGCTGTAAGGTCTAGGTACAATGTTTTGAGGACGCAAAGGACTCTATGTGCAGAATTACATGCCAGATACTATACATAAATATAGCCCCTTTGCAATGATTGTTACAGGAGGTTAGCTTTTCTGGGCTTTCTGGCTTAAGCTGCTCCCTCAGAAGTCTTCGTGACTTGCTTTGTTTCGGTAACCACCTCTCCGTCTTGGGTGGGGGAGCGATCGACCAATGATAAGATATCCTTGTCGATCTCGCTCTTGTGGTACAGTTGTCGGCTGACGTGGTCCGTTAAGTGGCTGTCGAAGTCGCGAATGCAGAGAGCTGCAATGAGTGAAACTAATCCCAGCGCTAGGCCAGTGTAATAAGGATAGGTATATGCGGCGGCGTAGGCTTGAGCAATACTTTGCGACGCTACTACCAGAATACTGTCATTCATGCCAGGTACAGCTCGGAGAGCATCCTCGGTTCCGACGGAGACGGCAGAAAGAAGGGCTGTTATGGACGATGAAGGTAGACCGGCAGAGCTAACGGCGGGAACAACGATCGATGTCAACTTCTCCGGGAGCTTGTTTGCTATCTCAGCTGTGAAAACTGCGGTGAAGATGGATCCAACAACACTTCGCATTGCGGAAACGACAGCTAGATTCATGTTAGCTCAATGTCTCGAATATTAATTATGGGGGAAAAAACACACCAAAGGCGACACCAAGGTCCATATCAGATGCGACGTATTGGACCATAAGCATAGTGACGACTTCACCCCAACCCACGGGGATAGTAGAAAGAAACGAGAAGGCAGCAGCCTGGCTCTGCTCGTTCGGATCGATCGAGGCCATGGCTCCAATAAACGCCGACATCCAGGCACACCCGATGATAAGTTGCCAGCGAATATGCTTGATGATATGGAATAGAGAACCGACAAACACAATACCGGCCCAAGATCCAAACGCGACGGTCGTAGTAAGCCAAGCTGTCGTCTCCCAATCGCTGTTTCCAAAGACTCTTGTGACTTGCGAGGGCCAGGTGATCTGAAGAGCGACGTTGAGGCAACCGGTGACGGCCGAGATAACCACAATAGGGGTAAATCCGGTCAAGTCCTTGAAGAAGTGCATCGGAATGATGGGACGCACTGCTCCACCAAACACTTCATACAGGATGAAAGCGACCAGACACACGAATCCTGAGATGAGAAGACCGAGGATTGTCGCGGAATTCCAAGCCAATGGCTGGCCTCCCCAAGAGACACCGAGGAGGAATAGCGCCAGGCCGGCGACGAGCAGGAACACTCCGATGAAGTCTATCTTCTTGATTTCGTCGACCATCTTGCTCTCCTTCCCGTGCATCTGGGTGAAAGACGGGGGGAAGTAGAAGAAATAAAACAAGACCGTTCCGGGAACCATGAAGATGATGTAGATGATGAAGATCCATCTCCAAGTCGTCTGGAGCACAATCCTCTGGCCCAGGTAGGCGCCGAATCCGGTGGCGATGACATTGGGGATGACGACTAAGACGGTAGCTAGATACTTCGTCTTGTTGGTCGCGAGTTCGCCGGTGAGTAGAGGGTACGACGCCGGCGGACCTGAGGCAAGTCCGAGCAAGACATTGGCGCCTATCAAGACGTCCATGTTCTTCGCCGTACACGCGACGATCCCCCCGATTATACCTAGGAGGTTAGCGCCGATGGCCAACCATCGGCGACCGAACCGATCCGATAGCCGGCCAAAGAGGAGAATGCTGATGCAGTCGCAGACGGTCCAGACGATGGAGAACAGGCTTGCATTCGCGCTTGGGCCGATATCCCGGTTGATAGCGGTGATCACAGCGGCGCCGACAGAGAAGGCCCAGTACGTGCCTAACAGACTGAATCCTATCCCGCCGAACGTTCCAATGACTCGAGTGCTAGAGTAGTATCCTGGAGGCAGCTGTTTCGAGTCGGCAGCCAGCGCCTCAGAACGAAGCTGATCGCCATCTTCTTTGGTGCGCGTATGCGCGACTGTTGACTCCGCGGTTTCCGACATGATGTGAATTGGTGACGAGCATGTAAGATGGCCAAAAGAATTAGGAGAATGGGTTTCGAACACAGGATGAAGACACGAGAAATTTCAATGTTGGCGTTCACGGCCCTTTTCTGGCAGCCTTGATAGTGGAACGGCCACGAGCACCAGCTAGCCTCAGATCAAGAATCGTAAGGAGCTGTCCAAAAAAAGTGACGGGCCGGACTGAACCCAGAAGCATCGTATGGCCGACCCAGTTCCCTGGGCAATAGTGAGGGGGAGGGCATCCTAGATAGGCATTGATACATACGGATATGTTTATTATACTGTCTATCAATATGTATACTCTCGTTAGTATGCGGTGCTTATTGCCGTAACTGGAAGAAGGATGCAACCCCCTTATCCTGCCAACCTGGAGTAAAACGCAAGGCTCCTTGCATCTAACAGCATGATATGCCTGTCTATACCTACTAGGGTAGATATCGTCCCTTACCTAATTTAAGATAAATCCCAATCCGCAGTAACCTTCAATAATGATCGAAGACATAAAGGCTTATGAACACGATTGATTGATCTAGCATTGCACGAGCCATTAGGGATCTTATTCAGCGAAGCGCAAAATTGCAGGGGGATACACGCAATCTTACGCCAGCAGCGCCAGCTGGATGGATATTCCGGCTCAGTACTCAAAGCGTCCTTACGCGGAAACTTGGTAGATAGGACTCAGAGTAACCTCCTCGGGTGGCTGAATGGTTCCAGTGGCTCGTGCGAACCAAGATGGAGTTCTCAATTACCTCCTATGCATCCTACGTTTAGTTTATTTGGTATTTCACCATCTTCCAACGTGCCTTAAATATCGACTGCCTTGTGGATCGCCAACTATTACGCCAATACCTCGATCATCGAGCGCGAAACTCCGTTCGCCGTGCGACTAGGTAATGAACGGGGAATGTAATTCGTTGCCGCGTATGGTGAGTGGCATATGTAATCGCCGCTGCAAATGCTTTGAATGGGAACCGAGCGAAGCGAGCCGTCTTTCGGTAACTACGAAGTACATACATACTGCGTAAATTACTTCAGGGGGGTGACCTGTCAACTTGACAGAGACGGGCCGAGGTGGCTGACGATGCACGATGGCTGTTCAAACATGCTTCGTAGGCTCCAAGGGCCTCTTTCTATGCATTCGACGGCGTGTGACATGAGTTGCATTAGTTGACATTAGTACCCGGTCTTATATATTCTACTTCTATAACCGGGGTTGAATCTGCATTTTAAGGTTAACTGCAGTATGTATGCATTTATAGACCAATCAGATGGGTCATGACTGCATGTATCTACGTATGATATGATTCACCTGCCAGTCTGCCTTTTTTACATGAATAAAAGCCACCAATTATATCCAGTTTAAGGGGTCTTGATGACACACGTCTATTGATATTTCGGTCTGTCTGTCGGACTTTGACCTGTTATCTCTTGTCCCGGTGTCTTGGGCTTTCAAGGGGAGTTGTGGTAGAGTTGCGACAGAGTGGTTCTAGACCTAGATATTTACTATTATGTCTATCTCTACTAAGTACGGCATTTAAGCCGGGGCGAGACGGGAGCTAATGAGGCTTTCCCGCCCTCCGCCAATACGAACGAGCCAACCTTGCCCTGTGGATCTTAGGATCCGGACCCCAGAAAAGAACATGAACACCATCGCGGTCCTAGCGTCTTACGGACCCTACCCGTTGCAGGGTGCGCCGGTGTACAACACCCTTGTCCTTTTTCCACTGCCTGGGGGAGGGTTTTGGATGGCGTACATGATGTACATGACTACGCCTTTAAGCTTACCAGACTGCCAGAGTAGCCGATTTGTTCTTCGCGAAACCTTTTCCTTTTTCTATCATACGCGAAGGGGAAGAAACTGCGAGAGATACAAACCCCTGATATTGCGGATCGACAATGCCTAACTCAAGGTCGCTTAGCTAATACCACAGATTGTAACTGCGTGAAAAAACTCTGTCTCTGTCCCTGTCTACGAATGTAGACATATCTATATATTATATGAGTTAGCGAGCCCGCTTTGCGGCCGCCCGGTGAAGAGCGATTCCCATCTGCCGCTGAGACAAAGTCACCGCATGCGTGGCTAACTTCCGCTTCGGAGAATTTCCCCACGAGAAGTTCAAGATGACGACCCAGGAGGATGTGAACATCGAGTCCTATACCGAGTATGCTCTCGGCATGACAATATTCCTCACTCGACTCATAACCCGATTAATGCTTGTGGGCTTCCGAGGACTGTACTGGGACGATCTTTTCACTTGCGTTGCTATTGTATGTTTTTTTCTCGCCCCTTAATCGAATTAGAATATAGGAGACGGGGTGGCTAACAAAGATAAATCCATCACAGGCCTTCTGGACAACCGACTTAGTTATCCTGTACGAGATAGGTGTGTATGGAAGCAGCGTTGGGCAGACGTACGAGTCAGCAGCGCTACTCGACGATGCCAAGGTAGCGAGTCTCAGAATCGGCGACAAACTGACTTTTGCTTCTTGGAACTGTTACATCTGCCTTATCTGGTCGATGAAGGCGGTTGTACTGTTCTACTATGATCGTCTTGTGCGTCTTGATCTTCAGATTCTTTGAAGGGGAATGCTAACAGTTATTAGACCATGAATCTCTGGCAGAACAAGATGGCCAGATATATTCGTATCTGTACTCTGGTAACTTTCTGTGTTGCTATCATATTCCAATACACCCTCTGTACGCCCATCGAGCTGGCATGGCAGGTCAAGCCTTACCCCGGAGGTTGGTGAAAACATCCACATACCCCTTATTCATCCATCGACGTCGTTGTCTAACGAAGCTCCGTAACAGATAAATGTGTTTTCCGCAGAGAGAACTACATCTTGTTCCCAATTCTCAGTATCATGTAAGTCTCCCCTTTCCATATAACCGGACATCGTTTCTCAGGAATGAGCATATGAAGAATCTAACATAATTCCTTTCGTTATAGTTCTGATTTGGGAATTATGGCTATTCCGCTCCCGCTGTTATGGCAAGTCAAAATTCCAGTTTGGCGCAAGCTCATTCTTGGTTTCCTTTTCGGCTCTGGTATCTTCATTATCATCGCCACCCTTCTACGGACGGTTTACTCTCTTCGATCTCTACTAGATCTCCTCGTCGCTACGCAATGGGCCACTCGCGAATATCTAGTCACCGCTTTCGTCGTCTCTGCACCAGCTATCAAGCCTCTCTTTAGCAAGCGTCTTTGGGGTCTTAGGGGGTCGACAACCAATTCAAGAACCGCAGATCGCTATGGGTCTGGTGGATCTGCGCTGCGCTCTGGAAAGGGATCAAAGGCGCACAGTCACTCCGTCGTAGTCGAAAGCCAGAACGGCGGAAACTCAGGGAGTTCTTCTGGTGGAAAAGTATTCGAGATGCCTGCTCGAGCTTGGCCTAGTAGGAAAGGGAGCAACGCCAAGATAAGGTTACCGAGCGAGGCGAGCCAGGAACACTTTGCACACTACTCGGACGAGGAGGCGGGAATCTATGTCACGGAGACGTTTACGGTCTCGAGTGAGGAACGGAAACAAGCAGCAAAATAAACGATGCTGTCTAGGAGAGCAGATCTTATGTTGAAGCTCTAACCAAGAATGCTTCATGGTCTGAGTTGAGCTCGGCTGGGATGGCGGAGGCATGCCTGGAGCTCGCAGAGCATGTCATTACTTGTGCAGGCTTCATAAAAGCCGCTTCTGTATAATATAATCTAGGTAAACATGAATTTTATCATAGGTAACAGGTTACTCAAGCAGCTAGCTCTGCTGATCTCAGTACCTAATCAGTCTTCTTCGATCGACGTGAGCACCAGACTTTGTCAGTGAATATTGAAAAGTAGACCGCTTTGACCATAAGTGAAACCACGTTGGGACGAAGTTCTATTAGCGTAAGCCTATAAAAACCTGCGCCGCAATAGAGATTAAAAATCTTATACTCGTTCAATTAGTAATGAGATCCAAGTGGAGAAAGATTTCTAGGCGAACCGCACAGAAGAAGTTGTTGGAAGAAGTTGCCTTGGATTCTTACAATACCTATCAAGGTCTAGTAATAGCCTATCGTTTGATGTGTTGGGAAGCGCACATATCCTGTGGATCAACTTTCCTCTCAATCAGATCAACTATCTACTATGTAAAACAGTTCGTTAATCATGTACTAAAGCTAGCCTTACCTAGCTTGTCGCGCACTTCCTACGTAGAGTATGCGTCGATGTTTTTCTTAGTAGGTACATGACGACCTACTGTCAGCAATAAGGGCTACGAAGACAAATGTCACTAGTACATGAGATTGAAGGCTAGGCACCTACATACTCTATACGCTTATAATTGATGAATAAAACTTGATAGATCTTATGAATTACCACTGCTCTTCTTACAGGCAGACGTAAAATACCTACCGTTAACCCTTTACCCAGTAAATACCTAGAAATGCATCCATCCAACATACCTAGCGTAGGGTTCCATGTACAAGCTGTTTCTTTAGAATTTAACTCCATGCTAGGTATCATTTCACAATAATCACATTCATAGGTAACATTGCCGAGTACACCTTATACTTCTGTTTCAATCGAAATAAGCAAGAAGCCTTGGGATAGGGTTAGGGTTAGGGACATCTCTAGAATTACCTCACGCCGATTTGCTACCACTATGTGTCACTTCTCAATGAAGCTTAGGATATCATTTTAATCCCCGGCGAGTAGGTGGAGTTTAATACAGCCCTTTTAGCCTTGTAACATTTTCTCATGAATGCAGCGGTCTTGCTTTGGTCATCATGGGAGTTGTGGTTCCCTAGGTAGGTCTTTCTAGAGCACTACCACCAGTATTTTAGCTAATCTAAAATATGTCCTCGGTAGAGTTCTACCAATATTGATCGAGTTCTAACGTAGTAACACACGTATATAGGTATTTTTATTAAGCAGTTGTTGGTTTATCATGAACCGGCCAGCTCGTCTTAACTCATCCCTTACCTAGCTAAGTAAGCACAAGGAGTCAACTCCGCCAAGTTCAGTAACCTTACGTCAAGCGATTGGTACATTTCATAAAATAACCGGTGTATTATAGTTATGTTGGTCAATACGGTTCCACAGGAACCTTTTGGCCTTGTTCTCTAAGAACACGTATTGTTGCCAATTATAAGGCAAAGGCATCCCATTCCGTCTCTGGGGTAGCTGTTGGCTCACCATCTATGCGACTTACTATTCCTTGCGCTGGCCTGATTTCGAGTTTGAAAGAGAACTATCTTTTCTGAAAACTGTTTGTTGGGTTCAAGAATGCCTAGCATATGTGCTTGAGGAAGCATGCGCAATATTCGTAGTATTGAACTAGGAGATGGTAATAGATTGCTAGAGGGTTGTCTAAGTAAGCTTTAATATCCCTTTAGTTGGCATATAACTACAGCTTCATCACAATTGGTAACTGTACTTCCAGCAACCACGAGCTCCACTTATAATTGGCTAGATGCCTCCGAAGATCACTGGGAGGACCTTAACACTTACAGGCTTAAAGGACATGCGCTATCGCCAATGTATAAGGTACCTAGTTACCGGTTTTGTGGAAACTGTAGTTTTATGCCAACTAAAGGGATAGGGCTTGAATGTTCTATTGGTGTTATTAGGTAAGTACCATGAATTACTGAGTCTGGCCTTAGGTTGGCCTCTGAAGAGATATTTTTAGATACTGATTCTTCATCTATTAATAGGAGAGCTCTTACCCCTTTATTGAGGTTCTAAGATTACCAAGGGGCCAAAACACCCATACAAATATAAATACAAATGCACGTTAAATCCTAGATTACTCGTTTATTCTACCACTGTCTGTGGACCTCTTTCCCTAGAACCTAGCGGCAACAGGTGACACCGATGGTGCCAACAATGTTGAAATTTCTACTTAGAGATGTGACCAAAAGTGATATATATTTATATACCCTGTGTTTCAAGGGCTTGGATAATGAGGCTTAGAGCGTGGTCAGAAATAATTAGGCCGACGTTGTTCACGCTGGTTGATCTGGTTGAGTTAGATGCTGAGCTGAACGGTATCTGCCCTATGAATGCGGATGAAGATGAAGACTAGGATGATGCTTGGGATTTCTGTTAGGGAAAGGGGGAACCCCTGATTCACATCATGGGACGGGGCGATGGATAGGAGGATACTCACTAAATTCTTCTTAGCACTTAGGTTAGCAATGTTTACTCCTAAATGATCACTAGAAACTAGTTCTTATCTCTTGTGCTGTTATGGGTGTGTCCCGTCGCTGAAGACTGTATTACAGAGTAAGTGAGTAATACTTAGCTCACCTTTGGCTCGCTTGCTTGTAATGATATACCTCCATTAACGCCTACACTTTTCCTAAAACCTGCTCTTTATGTATTCGTCTTAAACGTTACACAGGCTGTAGCTAACTAGCTGCTATCTAGCCGCTGGGTCTCGGCCCCTGACATACCATGCTCACAGGCTTATGCTCTAAGCCAAGGAGCTCTAGTTTTAGTAACCTATCCCCTCGCCTCTCTTCGGTCTCCAAACTGGTGACGACGGTAAGTTGGTGGCCATTGGTGGTGTAGTATGTGATAACGTTCAGCTTTGATGAATCTTACGTTGGTCTTCTGCATGTTCGGATAACGGAGCGGTTTACGTTGACGCGCCTGCCTCACCGACGTCCGTTCTCATATATTCTGTCTAATTGTGTTGTTACTATATCTATGTCTGATTGTTGAGCTTTCCAAGTAATTTAGCCCAGAACTACAGCATTAATTTTGGGTTGAGTGGCCTACAGCAACCCAACCGTACCATTTGAATTTAGATTATGTGTTGGATAATTCGCGACACCGTTGCGAATCCTCACCGATATATGATTTTAAGCTAGAGGCTTCTGAAATGTCCATTCTGAGAAAGTGTGGTGATATTTCTGCTTTGATATGACCAGAACCAGAAATCGACATTATATCATGTCTCCCGTTCGAGTAGATAAGTATGTCTGTTCAAACATCTTCAATCTTGCATGATATTAATGGAAGATTGGGGATTAGATCCTTTTTGTAGTAGACAAAACCCGATTGAACAGCACTGCATCTCAAAAGTCTGATGAACGACAAGAATCAGGCACTCGTGGTACTGTAAACTCCTCAAGTGTAAGTATCCTTGGCTAAGATGTAAGTCGCCACGCGCTCAACTATGCACTTAGATCCTAAGAGCCCTTTCTGGGACACGACCCAACTACGGAATCGGATCCGCCGAAGAAACAAGTGATATGACTATGTCTTACTTGAGGTTCCAGTTGGATAAGATGTTGAGTTCATTCTCGAGGCGAACGGCTGTGACAAGAGGGTGTAACGTTTTCGTCGTGTCTGACTGTATGGTCCAGTCTCCACGAGTAGGCACCTGTGATTCAGAGAGGAAATAAAGGCAGCACCATGACTTGGTAGAATCTACCTCGCGTCAACAGTCTTTTAAGTTCCCGTAAGGTACCTACCCACCACGGGCACGAAGCATGAAAAGACTTGTCACGGTTAGTCTGCAAGCATAAAGACTTCGGCATGGGCATGCATCCAAAGAAAATGACGTGTTGGAACTTCTTCTCGACCTCTTTATTTCAGACTTTCAATCATGTCGTGATACAGGGTGCCTCTAAGCTCGCGTAAGCCTTGAGACGTTCGCGAAGTGCTGAAGTCACCGGAAGCTCACTTAGCGCTCCATCTCTCCCGATGTGATCGGCGACGAAACCTTGAAACGGCTTAGATACGTTCTTAGGTTGGTTTGCCTATGATATCTTTACTAGATACCTGATAACAACTGTTCCGAACGTGACGAATGCGATGATTGCGGATCCTATGTTGACTTTGTATCCACACCCGGTGCATTCCCCCAGACTTGAATACGTACCTTTCTTCATAGAAAGACATTCTAGAGCCGTATAAGAGAAATATGGATCTAAGATCTGATAAGTCCTGAGTCGTTACATAAGTATGGACCCAAGGAAACAACGCGTAAGCACCTTCGCTGAATGGATATCGGCGTATATTGAGCTGTGGAAATTTATAGGCGCCGAATCTGGACAATCTTAACCCTAAGCCGTGCACGATAGCTAATCCTGTGACCAAATTATCATAGAACTGTTCTTCGTCAAAGTCGGGTGCCTAATAAATGAAGACATGAAGAAAGTGTCGGCATTGATATCGTATTCGGGGACATAACAGCTCGTTCACTAGGTAACCGGATAGGCGGTCATGACTCGGATCTTTAATCTCATATGCGCCCGTAGAATCCGGCATCAACTAGGAGTCTGCCTCATCTTTGTTGGATATCCTGAAACAATCCGGCTCGATAGGCGTGATGATCCGATTTATAGCGTATGGCACTAGATAGCAGAAAGTAGGTGAAGAGCTTATACATATGCAAACGAAAACGAAAACAGTTATTATCGACTACGACGTCGGGCGCCGGGCGCCGTTTGAATACCGACTTTCCAGTTAGTACTCGGCCAGCAGCTAGCTAGCGGCACGGCTTGGTTAAGGGGATCCGGATTAGCTAATCCAATCAACCACTTGTATTGGTTCAGCCAACGACGCCTTTAAGCTTAAACCATCGAAGATTGGCAAGCCTCCAGTTCCTGACAATGAGGTCGCCTGCATATATTAGTTACATATATTCGATCTCGTAATAGATATATATCAGCCACATGCCTAGCTTCTGTAATAGACCAGTAATAGTCTACTTTCTTTTTACGGCTCACGATTCTGGGCATGAGGTAGTCCTTAAATGGTTGCCTGCGATCGTGTTCGCCTTGGAATTGCGTGTTCCTGACCTCAGCCACAAATGTAGCTGAAATTGACAGGGCTGTTGATAGGATAAAAGGGGCTAGCTGCTGACGTACATAATCGGATAGCAAGGTATCAAAAGTAAAATCATCTATTTATCGGGGCTTACTAAGTTGCCGTGGTGAGCCATGGCAATGTTAGCGGTCACATGAATGCGTCTTCTATCTAACCTTTATTAGGCTGGTCACTGGTCTGGGCTAGCGTGGGCAACTGTTGCACAGCCGAAACAGATTTAGCGCGCCCCCTTGGCATCTTAGCACCTTAGGTACGTACCCAAAACCTACCTAAACCAAAACTTCCAGTGTTGCCAGACAACCTAGACCTTGGAACCAAGCGTCTCGGATACGACTTTAACCTTCGCAACCATTTCCTGAACTTCCGACCTCCCTCCAACCTCTTCTCTGCTTTTTTTCCATTCTCAACTTTCTTCGCCACACGAATCCCATCAACTAAAAAACCCAATCTGCATCGTCGCGACAGCACCTCAATCCGTATTGCATTTATTCCCCGACGCTTCCGACCACTCTCGCTTCGCCCGCCGATTAAAAAAACAACAAACCCGACCGTCGGTCATCACTTGCCAAAATGTCGAACCAGGAAGCTCCCTACGACCCCTACATTCCCAGCGGCCAGGCCGCAGCCCAACAGGGTGGAAATGCTCGAACGCAGGCCTTGCAAGCAGTAAGTTCTATCTTTCCGACCGAATATGATTTTCGATGTTTCTCTTTCCGGATCACGAGATTTCGATGGCCTACGTAATAACCGACTGCGCCTCTACTTCACATCCGACGAGATGGCCTCAACCGCACCCAGCGTAATCTATCATCAACCTCCGGAGCGATCAACGTCGATAATTCAGCATCAATATCCCAACAATGAATATGTACTAAGAAATTGAAAGAGACGATGCGCATGGGCCCACGTTAGATGATGGTAATCTTAGGAGCTCGGGTTCATTTCGTAGCTATTATCGGCCCAACACTGTATGATCCAATATCGCATTGAACACTAGCTTTTCCCATCCGGCACCTATGGATCTTGCGACAATACGAAAGTTACAAACTACGATATCGTGATTCGGAAAGGAAACAACGTGATTTGTACATGGTGACGAAAACAAAGAAACTAACAATGTGGCCTCTTAGCAAATCGACGACACCGTAGGTGTCATGCGAGAAAACATCAACAAGGTCTCTCAACGTGGCGAGCGTCTCGATAACCTGCAAGATAAGACCGACAACCTGGCTGTCTCCGCCCAGGGCTTCCGTCGCGGCGCCAACAGAGTTCGCAAGCAGATGTGGTGGAAGGATATGAAGATGAGAGCCTGCCTGATCGGCGGCATCATCGTTCTAATTCTCGTTATTGTCGTCCCTTCCGGTAAGTCGCATGATGTCATTAACCAAACCTGAAGACGATCTAACTCGTATATCAGTCCTTGCAAGCCAAGGCAAAGTGTAAATTGTTCCAACCTGTGTCACCGCAGGGTACATCAAGCATGAGATGCTAGTAGATGACTTGATGGGTATGACGACGACTTGAAATTTTCTCGCGGGTTACGAGCAAGCACATGTGCGAATTCCCGAATCCACCAACACCAAAAAACTACCTTTGAGTGGGAAATCGCAAAGAGCACAGAGAGGAGTTTGTCTTTGATTTGACCGGTCTTTTCTTTGGCTTGCTAAATGGAGAGAACGACGTTGCGGGAAATGCTTGGGATACCCGCCGATTGTTTTCCCCCGACCCCAAGCCGTAGACGAGGGGAACCGGAACGGCGGAGGAAACCGAACTTGTATGTATGATGGCGAGGCGTTTTTCGACTAATTCAAGAGATATTTTACGACCCTGAATACTATAATACCCCTTGACGTGCCGCGAGTACTTACTCTTGTCTCCGTCTCCCGGCCTGATGCGCTGTCGTAAATGTACATCTTGGAAACTGCTGTGTGAGATGAATATGAGTAGTCGCTACGTGATACCGGTACATATATACGTATGTATGGATGTTTAATTGGCATCGGGTCGCTCCCGATACCTATGTTACGGTGCACTGCCCGACCTTCAAATCTACAGCCTTCCCAAGATCTAGTTCGAGGAATTATGTTTCGAGACGACCCTCGGTTTGATAAACGTTCCTATGTTCGTATAGGGAAGGGATAGGCATCGTACATATTCAGAGGTTTCGCGGACCTTTCATATTTCATGTCTCGTGAATCGCTTAACTGTTAATGCGTGCTGCTGTGCTTGAAGGGTTCATTTTTATGTTTATTTAGATATTGTGGTGTTGATAAGAAACGCTTCTGCTATGGATGGTTCGTGATGTTGGTGGATATTACTCGGTGTGTAACATGAGACGCATTGTCAACCTCTTCGTTACGTGTATGCTCTTGATCTAGGAGAAAATTAGGTAGGTGAGACAAGATGAGGTGAATGTGGTGGTCGATGGTTAGGAGGCTTAAGGCTGAATGATTGCGATTCCTTCGTTCCTATAGGGCGTTTCTCATGGCCTGAGCTTATGTTATCTATTCATGCATACCATTGGAAGCAACGACATCCCGTCGGTGAACTTGTAAATATACCTAGGTACCACCGGTCTGTCTTTAAGGTCAAGGACTAGCATGAGTTTTCTTAAGAATGGCTGACTCGCTATTGAAATCACCTATCACGGTAGAATAAGTTATCTCACCTTATACACCGGTATATCAGCATAGCCTCGAGGAGCCTTGCGATTTTTTCCTAGGCGCAGTAGGAGAAAAGTGATAGATTATTTATCGCATTCTACCAAATTTTGAGTGCTCTTCATAGGTAGCTAAAGGTGCTGAGGCTTGCTTCTGGAGGAACACAGCATTGATCTCAATTCAATCAAATTTGAAGGCCTTAGGCACAGCGGAAGGCTGTAGCTGTTGATACCTCGGAGAAATCTCGAGAAATGACAACTTGCTATCATAGGTATATATTAGCTCAAATCATGCCATGGAGGAATCGGTGTAGGGCCTAGACGTGATGTGCTTCCGATGAGAAGTGCAGAATTGTTCTTAGAGCACAAGGGTTCTAATTTCTTCGGCGTCTATAATTCCCTTCACCGGCCAGTCTGCATGAGCGCCAGCAGAACATATCTACATGGGAATGTGATCTGATAGAGCCTTTTGTATGAATTATTCCGCGGGAAGTGCTGTTAAATTGCAGGTGGAATCGTTGCTAGATCATTATGGGACACCAATCGCAATGAGCTAGAGAGAACAAAGGGATTTTGAAAACAGGAATTGGCGCCCTTGCCCGTCAAAGAATCATACCGAGGTATGGAATTCAGGGGTCGATAAAAACACGTGATGACGGTCAAGAAATTTTTGCTCTCAAGTCGATAAATCAACGGGAATTTTGTTGAGGGAAGTCTAGAATCCCACGATGTGGGAGAATAGGCAAATGTTCATCGGTATGCCGAAGAAAAGCTGAGAATAGAAAGTGAGTTGGAGACCTCAGGAAGAGATACGCAACACCGAGGTCGTATGACCGTAGAATTCGGAACTCGTCTGGCTGCATTGCGGTAATACCCAAATTCCCGACTATGCAACATTTGGAGAAAGTTGGATATTGGAGAAAGAAGGGACGTCGATTTTAGTATATTCGACTTCTCTCTTCTGTATATCGTAGTAGCCGGAACTCGAGACGCTCTCGCATCCACCATCTGACAGTACGGGTATAAATACAGACCTGTGACTTTCGGATGGCGCTACACCGGAGGAGACTAATCCGGCTGCATGAGCACTGCCTCTCCCTCTAAGGTCGGCAAGTGGGTAGAACGTGGCCTCGGGCGTTCGCGAGATTTATGAGAACATCGCCGACACAGAGGGATTTTCTGTTAGCTTCGGCGGGTCTCCAGAGTTTTACCAAGGACCATGAGCTTCGAGGTCCTGTTCCTGTCTTGACGGCTACTGGAGCATAGCCTCGATCACGAAGTTGAGGTGTCCCCGGATTACTGTAATAGGAACCTGACGTTGCCGATTGTTTCCCCTGATGGCACATCAATTTAGGTTGAATGCTAAGTTGCCGTTCTTCTCGGCATTTCAATGACTGGCAGCAATCTTGAAAGAGGAGTTGACTTGTAGGATCAAGTCCTTGTGATTCGAAACATACTCGTGGTGTACGATAGGCATATGATAGGTAGGATATTGTAGATTAGAATGAATGTCGACATCCTTGGCTGCGTAAGGTACCGGTGATGAAGCTTTCATGATCTGCTGCAGCGTGAAGCTTGATGCCCTGGGTAAATACGCCAAGCTGATGATGGTGTGTTGATGTGACAATTTGACCTGGTTAGAGAACATTGACTAGATAATATCTACGAAGTCGATTATTTCTTCTAACCGGAAGCGGCTGTTTATGCATCGTAGCACACACTTATGGGCTGAATCTTGTTTTGAATTATAAGTATCTAGGCACGAAGCTTAATACGAATAACATTATTGAACTAGAAAAGTGACGTGATATACGCAGTAGAAGCAGAAATAAAAATAAGGACTTGATCATGCAATCTTGGAAGTCTAAACTCTCTCAAAATATTAGGTAACGCTCTCCTACCTATTAAGTGACTAGTTAGTTGCCACTTTCAAGGTTATTTATGCTTAACTTTTCTTATAATTCAATAGGGCGGAAGCATATATATAATAACAAGGGTTAAGATAATCGATCTTCAATCTCAATTGGAAAGAGCTGCGGTTATCGGCGTCCAAGAATTTTTTCTCTCTTGGTCATATCGAAGTTCTTCAGGATAAGATTATCGCGGCGATTTGACAACGTTCACTATTAGCAAAATAGCACATTAATTCTCTAGTCGATTCAGGTAATTTAGTCCCAATAGTTCAATTGGTTCGCCTACTTGTACCCCGTGCTTCACTTTATTATTCCTTTACCGACTTGGAGGTGTACGTATAAGTACCTTTAACTAACCCTCTGGAATTCCAACTTTAGCTCTCCTCTTTCTTTTCCTCTCCCTTCCCAGGACTTTCGACGCTGAGCCCGAGGCAGCTCGATCCTCGTCGCGATACCACGGCTTATACAGCCGTGGGGACATCAATTGAACGCATATACACCTTGTCGTCCGCTATACCATCCGATCAGACACCATGTTGCCGGTGCGCGCAGTACGAGCCGCCGTCCGGGCTGGCTCTCGCAGAGTTTCTCCTCGAGTGACACGTCTGTCTCCGGCGATCGCCAGAAGCCTACCACGAACCCAACGAACCGCATACTCTTCATCTGCACGAGCATACGACTCTACCACCCGTGCTGCAGTCATTCAAGTTCTGAACAATGTCGGTTCGAAGAGGGAGGTTCAGCAGTACCTCTCCCACTTTTCCTCCGTCTCTTCTCAGCAATTCGCTGTCATCAAGGTCGGCGGCGCTATTTTGACCGACTACCTAGACGAGCTCTGCTCCTCGCTGTCATTCTTATACCATGTTGGACTTTACCCTATCATCGTCCATGGGGCTGGCCCACAACTGAACAAGCTCCTCGAGGATGCTGGTGTCGAACCTGAGTTCGAGGAAGGAATTCGTATTACCGACGGTAAAACCCTAGGTATTGCAAGGCGACTCTTCTTGGCGGAGAATTTGAAGCTCGTCCAGCGCCTAGAAGAAATGGGTGTCCGCGCTCGACCGATCACCTCCAGCGTCTTCACCGCCGACTACCTCAACAAGGATAAATGGAAGTTCGTAGGCAAGATCACCGACGTCAACAAAGAGCCAATTCAGACCGCCATTGAAAACGGTTACCTTCCTATTCTCACCTCCATGGCCGAGACAAGGGAGGGCCAAGTATTGAACGTCAATGCTGACGTCGCTGCCGGAGAACTGGCTCGAGAATTCGAGCCGTTGAAGGTAGTCTATCTTAGTGAGAAGGGTGGTTTGTTTGACGGAAACGTGCAAAAGATCTCAGCTATCAATCTTGATGAAGAATTCGACCACATCATGTCACAACCCTGGTGCAAGTTTGGAACCCGATTAAAGATTCGGGAGATTAAGGAACTTCTAGAGACTCTTCCGCGCTCATCTAGCGTTGCCATCATACATCCTGCCGACTTACAGAAGGAATTATTTACGGATTCGGGAGCCGGTACCCTTATTCGCCGTGGAGACAAGCTGATGACTGCGGAGAGTGTTGCGGACTTTAACGATCTTGGCAAACTTAAGGATGTGCTTGTGCGAGATCGTGAAGTCCGGGACGCTAGGGCAACCGTAGATCGATATCTGGACTTCTTACAGGGGCGAAAGTTCAAGGCGTACTTCGATGAGCCTATGAAGGCCCTAGCAGTCGTCCTCGACCCAGCCCCGGATCAGTCTTATTCGACCTTGGCTACCTTGACAATCACTAAGTCAGGTTGGTTGACGAACGTTGCTGACAACCTCTTCGCCGCGATTAAAAAGGAATATCCTAGCTTGGTATGGACCGTGAAGGCAGACGATGAAAATCTCACTTGGTTCTTTGCCAAGGCAGACGGTAGCATTGTCAGGGGCAATGATGTCATGTTCTGGTATGGAATTGAGCCCGGAGAGGAGCTGAATAAGCTCATGAGCGAGTTTACCCTTCACGGCCGAGCAATGCTAGGTGATTCTAACTTAGAGTCCCGACTTCACCGAGCAGCTCAGATTGCTTCTGAGAACCTACGGGCTCACTTTGCGTCCGGGTCCGTAGCCAACCAAGCACGGGGCTACTCGACCCTCGCCCGCCGCCCTGTGTTAGGGGCTACTCCTAAGAGTGCATTCTCACACATGCCCCGCAGAGGCTTTGCAACCGAAACCAACCCCAACCCCCCTTATGGCAAAAAGCACGCGTCGAATACCCAGCCCTCGAGAGTCGCATTGATCGGTGCACGGGGCTATACCGGACAGAACTTGATCAGTCTCATTAACTCACATCCTAATTTTGAGCTTCGACATGTATCGTCACGGGAATTAGAGGGGAAGAAGCTAGAAGGGTATAGCAAGAAGGATATTATCTACGAGAACTTGAGCTTCGACGATGTTTACGATATGGAGAAGAAGGGTAAGATAGACGTGTGGGTGATGGCACTACCGAACGGTGTTTGCAAGCCGTTTGTCGATGCCATCAACAAGGCCAAGGACGAGACCTCTTCTCGCGAAGATAAAAGTGTGATCGTAGATCTTTCGGCGGATTACAGATTCGACAAGTCGTGGACCTACGGTCTTCCTGAGTTGGTTAAGCGATCGCAGATTGCTCAAGCTACCCATATCTCGAATCCCGGTTGCTACGCCACAGCCGCGCAGCTCGGCATTTCGCCGCTTGTGGGGCATCTGGGTGGCCAGCCTACCGTCTTCGGTGTTAGTGGCTACTCGGGGGCTGGCACGAAGCCTTCGCCGAAGAACAATGTGGAGAATCTGACGAATAACATCATCCCTTATAGCTTGACGGACCATGTCCACGAGAAGGAGATAAGCTCTCAACTTGGTGTCGATGTCGGGTTTATCCCGCACGTCGCGGTATGGTTCCAGGGTATTCATCACACTATCAACATCCCCCTCAACAAGACGATGACTTCGCGAGATATTAGACAGATGTACCAAGATCGGTACGCGGGCGAGAAGCTGGTTAAAGTGGTGGGGGAAGCACCGCTGGTAAAGGCGATTAGCGGAAAGCATGGCGTTGAGATTGGCGGTTTTGCTGTTCACAGTTCTGGAAAGCGGGTGGTTATTTGCGTGACGATCGACAATCTACTAAAGGGAGCGGCGACACAATGCTTGCGTGAGTATTTACCCACCCCTACGCCATCATCTTTTCCCAAACCTCACAGTCGACTTGGGATACTGACGTGGCTTATAGAAAACATGAACTTGGCTCGTGGGTACGCGGAGTTCGAGGGTATTCCTCCAATGAATTAGACAGGGGATTTTCCTTCATTCCGGTGTTTTTTTCTTTTCGGGGTCTGATGCTGGGGGCTTTTAAAAGAGGACTTGTATATACCTATGTGACAAGTAGGCGGGAGTCTTTATGATGTGCTATAAAAGATGTCCATAAAAGCTTACCGGACTTGATACGTGAGACGTTCTCTTAAGCTAGAGGGGGGCGGCTGGGCGTCATTCATTGTCCTCATGTAAGTCGTGATGGAAAAGAGTATGGATAGAAGCGAGTTATTGGTGGATAGTAGGGATCTCCAATGGAGCATGTGATCATTGTAGCGGATTCATTCCTACTAAGTACTAGGTAGGCAGATAAGAGATGAACTGAGATTCGGGCATGCTCAGAAATTGACTTGATTTACCGAGATAGAATCCAACATGTCGGGTTTTGATATGGGTAGAACAGCAAACGGCAGACCCCGTCCTGCCCGTCAGAAGACGCCGTTTGGAGAGAGGTGGAAATGGGCAGATGGAGTGAATTCAGACGCCGAATAGTCTAACCAATCCCTTATACGGCGTGATCTGGTGGGGCATCCCCCTGAAAAGCGTGTTCCGATGGCGGATGGCGGGGTTCTATGGCGGGGCAAATTTTTGACAATTTTTAGAAGCAAGCACCCGATTCATGGGACGAGCAGGAACGAGCAAGGACGACTAGCTCTGAGCTAGAAATATATTTGCATATATTTGTGTGTGTATATCTGCATAACTTAGAATCTTCCACTTTGACTCACGTTTCTAGTGTAGAGCTCGATACAGTTTATACTCGCACGAGAATCCTACCTTCCGAATAGTCAATCAGTTCGAAGACGACCATGGCTTCCCAATTCCCTACTAAGAAATGCGGTATGACTCCCCCAGAAAAGCCAATGGCTTATACATATGGATGCATGTACAAACCTGCGTAAACTAGATTCACATGCTAAACTCGACTGTTATACCAATATATAGGCGTCCTAGGCTGCACAGGCTCCGTCGGCCAGCGCTTCATCCTGCTGCTGTCGCAGCACCCGCACTTCGTCCTGCACGCCGTGGGCGCGTCGTCCCGGTCCGCGGGCAAGAAGTACAAGGACGCCGTCAAGTGGAAGCAGGCCTCGCCCATGGGCCCCGTGGCCGAGCTCGTCGTCCGCGAGTGCAAGGCCAGCGAGTTCGCCGACTGCGACGTCGTGTTTAGCGGCCTGGACGCGGACGTTGCCGGGGACATCGGTACGTTTCCCCCTTGTTTATACCTTCATGGGTTGTAAGTTGGTTCAACGGGCTAATACACGTCTCCGCGCGTCTAGAAATGGAATTCCTCAAAGCCAACCTCGCCGTGTTCTCCAACGCGAAGAACTACCGCCGGGACCCGCTCGTGCCGCTCGTCGTGCCTACCGTCAACCTGCCGCACCTGGACCTGATCCCGCACCAGCGGGCGCAGCACGGGCTGGAGAAAGGGTTTTTAGTGTGCAACTCGAACTGCGCGGTGATCGGGCTCGTGATCCCGTTCGCGGCGCTGCAGGCGCGCTTCGGGCCCGTCGACGCCGTCTCCGTCGTCACCATGCAGGCCGTGTCCGGCGCGGGGTACCCGGGCGTCAGCAGCATGGACATCGTGGATAACGTCGTCCCCTTCATCTCCGGCGAGGAGGACAAGCTCGAGACCGAGGCCCGCAAGATCCTCGGCTCTATTAATGCCGATGCTACTGCTCTCTCCGACCAGGAAGGCCTCAAGGTCAGCGCGAGCTGTAACCGCGTCCCTGTGCTCGATGGACATACGGCGTGTGTGAGCTTGCGCTTCAAGAATAGGCCTAGCCCGACCGCGGAGGAGGTCAAGAATGCGATGAGGGAGTATGTGAGCGATGCGCAGAAGCTGGGATGCCCGAGCGCGCCTACCCCGAGTATTCTGGTTTTTGATGAGCCGGATCGCCCGCAGCCGAGGCTGGATCGCGACTTAGGGCGCGGGTACACGGTTAGCGTCGGCCGGGTGAGAGAGGACGAGAGCGGGATTTTTGATATCAAGTTCGTTGCGCTGAGCCACAATAGTGAGTTGCCGATTTACCTCCCCCTTTCTTTCCCCATCAATAAAGGTTGCTAATGTCCGATAGCTGTCATCGGAGCAGCTGGCTCTTCGATACTAAACGCGGAGGCGGCGGTGCTGAAGGGGTTTATCTAAGAAGGGTAGTAGGTAAGAGAAATTAGAAAAGAAAGGGGGGTATGTATGCGAGAAAGCAAGCATCCTGCATCTAAGGCGTTAGGGTTGGTTTATTTGCATACGGAAGATAAAAATGAGGCGGGTGGGCATTGAAGATACGTGATTGAGGTGGTAGATAAGGGGTTTGAATAAAATGAAACGCTTCACTTACCATTTCTATGTCGTATCTAGCTCAGTGGGTGGTAAGTTTGCGTATGATTTAAATTTGCTGTCTAGGCGACTGTGATTCAAGCTTTCGATGATATATTGCTAGTTGAGTTTGTTGGGTCCCGGGAGCATTTCGCTGGGCATCTTCGTCATTTCCTGAGTAATCAGTTTGAGCGAATATTATATCCATTGTCTTTTTACGCAATGTAGGACCCCATCTTCTAAACCACGGTAGAATGAACTTGTCATGAGGACAACTGTAGGATTAGAAAGACCCTATATTATATATACTGAAAATTGCTACCTATGCCTTCTTATGACCAGGATGATTATACGCTACCCATAAGTAACACACTGTAGCTTCTAACCATCACCAGCAATTCATACAAGTAAACATAAATAGACAAATACAGTGCTTCCTTTGATAGATAAGTTATATTATACAAGATGGCAGAACCTCGTCGAACTATCCAGAAGTTCATAAGAGGAGCCTGATTACCCTTTATGTAATCCTATAAGACAAAGCACGAGTCGCTCCCAGACACCTAAAAAAGATTCGTTCGGACGTAAGCCCCATAAGTACTGTACATACACATGACTGACGACGGAATCCCACGATCACGTTCCGTCCGTAAGATTTTTGATTATGCCCAACGATGCCCAACTGTGCCTTTTTATTTTACCTCGTCATAAGATAATAAGATAGCCTAGCCCCAGGTATGATGTACGGAAGTTATACCATCCATTAGATCAGAACCCCTCGAAATAGCGATCATATTGACGAGCCAGGTCCTCCGAATACGGGTCTCGCTTGCCGTCGTCCTCGGGGTAGACGTCGAAGCATTGCGCATCGCCCGGAAACCGTACGTTGGGCTGAATCGGCGGCCTGATCTGTCGGTTGTACAGCGCGTCCCAATCTATGCCTTCGAAGAACGGGTGCGACTTGACCTGCTGGGTGCCGCCGATGAGGTTTCCTAACCGTCTCGAGCGGTCCACCGTGCAGAACGAGCGAATGACGTTTTGCGCATTGGGCGAAATAGGGGGCTCGGCGGGGAACAGCACCGGTTTCTCGATTATCCTGTCATCTTGTTAATTTCTACAACCGAGAAAAGTCGACACATGGGTTAACTGACTGTTTGTAGATCTCGATGGGATTCTGGTGCCAAAATGGTGGATACCCAGTAAGGAATTCGTAGATCAGGATGCCCAATGCCCACCAATCCACAGCTATGGTATGCCCCTTATTCTGGATCACCTCCGGCGCCAAATACTCGGGAGTGCCGCAAAGAGTATAAGTCTCGACGGGTCTGCTATCCCTACTACCAAGCCTCTTCGCAAACCCGAAATCAACTAGCTTCACGTGACCCTGACCGTCCAGAAGGAGGTTTTCAGGTTTCAAATCGCGATATGCCACGCCGCCTTGATGGTCATGAAGAAATTCGAGTACCAAGACAATCTCAGCCGCATAGAACTGAGCCCACTCCTCCGGAAACCGCCGGTGCCTTCGCAGATAGCTAAAGAGTTCACCACCGGGGATATAGTCGAGCAGCATGTACAACGAGTCATGGTCCGAGAAGGTGGTGATTAGCTCGGTGATGAAGGGGTGGCCGGCTACGTCGCTCAGGATGCGGCGCTCGTCTCGAACATGATCGATCTGCTTTAACTTAATGACCTCGGCTTTTCGCAAGATCTTAAGGGCGAAGACTTTTTCGCGCTCCTCTTCGGCGCCAGTGGCAGGGCGGACTAAACAGACTCTGGCAAATGTACCTGTGACAAGATACTTTTAGCATGGCAAACACTAGGCGCGTCTCGCGTCGCCAATGCGACAGGTAAGTAGGTAATACCTGTTCCGAGAGTCCTCACGAGCGCAAAGTCGCTCAGCTTTAATCGCTGGTGCTGCGGTGGCACTTTCGGGTCGGCATCCTCTTCTTGCGCGACGGCGCCGGCGTCTGTATTTGTGATGGGGCGCAGGCTGTGCTCTTGTATAACTCGTGGTATTAGGCCGGGTTTGGCAACCGTTGCGGCCATCTTCTTAAAATTCATCCGAAGTCTGTGATCTTCTTTTCCAGCTAACCTATAGGAGCAGCCTTTCGCAATTGGCGGTTCTCTCCTTCAGGCGACTCCCATCTCCCGGCGCCAAGGTGACTATCGACGAGGAAGGTTTCGATTAGGAATTGTAACGGTTGCAAGACGATGTATGTAGATTATGTGAACAGCGGTTATTGGGCTGGGTCCTTTTTAAAGTATGTATGATGTATTTTCAAAGTATGTGATAGATAGAATAGATATAACGTATGTAGATGATTATAGACAATAATATATGGAAACGTTGGACCGGAAGGGCAACAATGGTTGCCGATTCTTAGCGCAGTTAGATCTTATCTAACAGCAAGTGATATAATAGGTAGTCACTAGGAAATAGACGAAGTGAGATGAATGGATAGAGCGGGCTGAGCGGGTAGAATATGGGCTATCAAAGTCCAAGTCATAAAACAGGTTGGACACACAGCTGGATAGGTTAATAGGTTTGGATAAGTCATGGATTAGGCCCAGCCTTGTAGCGACGGTAGCGATGACGTTTGCTGCAGAAGGAACCTCAAGCGTGCGAGCGGGCAGGGCGGGGAGGACTTCATTGTCGCAGGTGATGAAAGTGGATATTTTTATGGATATTTTAGGACGCCCGATCTAGACCAGCTAGACCTCGTAAGGAAATGTAAGGAAATTGTAGGGGAGAAAGTACCCCTAGTATCCTTGTTGTATTGGCCAGATTGGACCAGTGGGCGTGACGAGATGCAATATGCCGGCTAGTCGCATGAGGTCGCATCTGCATCCGGCAACTTGAACGAATCATTTTGATTGTCAAAAGTCCTAGACGATAATGTTAAGGCTGAAGTTTATTCTTTTATATTGCAGTTTATTCATGAAGAATTCGGGTAGCTGTGACTAAACACTGATTTAGAAATGAATACTAGTAGGTTATGTAAGTAATACATACCTAGTTGAATGTAAGATGTGAGATGTAAAGTGGACAAATTGGATAGATGAAGGAGTTGAGGAGGAGAGGAATGGAAACTCGAATCTAAACCCTATTGGTCTTCGTTTCGACGGGTTGCCCAGATGGGTTATTAGCGGGGCTGGGGAATGTGACTCGTTCCAACTTGGAACTTCGACCCAATCAGTATTAGCTAATCGTCAAATGTCCAAGTACCTAAGTACCTGCGTAGTTTCAGGACCAACTGACTAAAAATGTTCACGTTCCACAGGAGCAGGCATTAGGACATTTTAAAGAGCTTCAGCCACAGATGAGGTAACCCCCTATTTGAGGCTGAACAACCCGGATCCCGGCCAAAACGGCAATCATCAGACGTTAACGGTGCGGCGCACCTCGTGGACCGTTCCTTATTAGTGACAATCGACAACTGACAACTGCCATCCTCCCTCTCTCTCTCTCCTTATAGACGATAACGTCTTGACACAACAGCAAGCCTTCTACACGATTATAGGGCTGTTGATTCCACCTTTCTCAACCATTCTAATCGTTCAAATCACGTTCAAGTCCAAACACGAAAATCCTACGCTTACAAAGCATCTCCCTCTTTCAGCCCTCGTCTCTCAACCCTCGTTAGACATGAATTGAGCTTACAACATTCATGGACTGGACTTAGCTGGAAAGTCTTGAACCATGTTTAACCTTAGCAACTTTGTGCAAAAGGCACAGTCGGCTGCCCAGCAGTTGATTGATCCTATGCAAGGTTTGAACCTGACTAACTCCGACAGACATCCGTCCAAGGCTTCCCTATTCCAGAATCAGTTTCGACTTCCCACCTCCCAGACTCCCTTGTACGAGATCCCCGCCGAGCTCACCATCCCTCCCTCCAACGTCACTCAAGGAGACAAAGATCGTGATCGAGGCTGGCACTACACCGGAAGGCTACACTTATCCGAGTCCTTTATCTGCTTTTCCACAACCCCCACTAGCTTTTCCCAAGGCTCCAGCCCCTCGAGCTCCGCCGCTTTTACCGGTCAAACACATGGTGCTGGTCCAAGCGGAAATGGCTTCACATTCCCTCTTTGCGCTATTAGACGGGTTGAGCGTCTAAACAGCCAGAATTCCCAGGTACGAAAACGCACATGAATTGCTATCGTGGACAAAGCTGACGTCACGCTTCCTAGTTTTCCCTCGCTATCACCACCTGGAATGGTATTTCTCAAGAATCGGTCAAGGATAAAGATAAGGATAAGGATGCGAAAGATAAGAAAGAGTTCAGAGAGCAGAGAATTACTATACAGCTTGTCGCACCTCGCCCAGCATGTGAGAGGTTCTGTGATGGCCTCAAGAGAGGCTTAAGGAGCGCAGTTGGCAGTGTCGGAAGATATAAGAAGGTAGTAGCTGACTGCTACTCGGAATACCTTCTTCGACCAGAAGAGAAGAAGAATGCGAGCCCCCCGGACGCCGGCTTGGGCATGGTCTTCCGATACCCTGGCGATCCGAAGAAGCTCAGGGACCGAGCAAAGATGAGGTTGTGGGCAGAGTATCTTCGCGACAATGGCCGAAATGCGACCTTGATTCGTCAACCCACATTTCATAAACTAATCAGAGTCGGTCTTCCGAACAGGCTTCGAGGCGAGATCTGGGAGTTAACTTCCGGCTCACTATACCTACGACTCGAAAACCCAACCTTGTACACAGACACGCTCGCGAAATTCTCAGGCAAAGAATCCTTGGCCATAGATGAGATAGAAAAGGACTTAAACCGAAGTCTCCCGGAATACCCTGGATTCCAGAGTGACGATGGCATCAACCGGCTACGACGGGTCCTGACGGCATATAGTTGGGTAAATACCGAAGTCGGCTATTGCCAAGCCATGAATATCGTCGTAGCCGCGCTACTGATTTACATGTCCGAAACTCAAGCGTTCTTCCTGCTTTCAGCGTTGTGCGATAGACTGGTTCCTGGCTATTACTCATCCACCATGTACGGTACACTTTTGGACCAGAAGGTGTTTGAATCTCTCGTGGAGAAGACGATGCCGATTTTATGGGAACATCTCGTTAAGAGCGATGTGCAGCTTTCTGTCGTTTCTCTTCCCTGGTTTCTTTCCTTGTACATCAACTCGATGCCGCTAGTATTTGCGTTTAGGGTCCTAGACGTCTTCTTTGTCGAAGGTCCCAAGGTTCTTTTCCAGGTCGGATTGGCCATTCTGAGAATTAACGGCGAGGAGTTACTAGATGCTACGGATGACGGCGCATTCATTTCTGTTCTAAAGTCATATTTCTCTCGTCTCGACGAGTCTGCACATCCAAAGTCCGAGAACCCAAAGTTACGAGCTATTAATAGGTTCCAGGAGCTCATGGTTGTTGCCTTTAAGGAATTTTCTGCTGTCACTCACAGCACTATCCAAGATCTGCGATTGCGCAACAAAGATGCTGTTCTCAATAACATTGAGAATTTTGCTAAGCGTACCGCAATCCGGAACCTTGGACCCGACAGCAAGCTATTGAATCCGGAAGAATTAGGGGCTCTCTACGACAGGTTTTACAGAGTGTTATATGAGCGACAACAGCGAGATCTTATAATCCAAGAGCAAACACGCCGAGCCAAGGCTAACAGGGCTAGAGGTAGCGACGCATTCTCAGATCACGATCACGGCGTAGAGAAGGGTCGAGTTGGCCTTGGTCCGAGTACTAGTTTGATGGACTATGATGCATTCCGAGAGTTCTTAGCGAGTGTGTCTAAATGGGCTATTTCAGACTCTCCGCCTTCACCTAGGCGCGAGCCGTCTGCGGAAAAAGATCGCAATTCGTACTTCAACAGCTTCAGACGATCCGATGCAAACCTCCTTTCGCCTTGGGGCGGAAACCCTGAACCGGCTGACCACGAATTTATGCAGAGATTATTCCGAAGATGGGATGTGGACTCTAGCTCGGCGCTGACTCTGCAAAATGTCGTGACGGGTTTTGCACATATCAAGGGGAAGCGAGATATCATGGGCACGATCACTTATTTCTTCGAGCTCTATGACGACGACGGTGACGGAAGGGTTGACCGAGAGGGTATTCTCCGAATTTCCGAAGCCCTCTTGTTCCTTTCGCGTCGTGGTCTCGAAGGATCGCTAAGCAATTCTAACTCGAGCGTGGCGCTCAATGGATTAAGTGATTCAACTAATGGTTCAACGAGCCCGCCTATCGGAGGTACTATCAACGAGCGATTCTTGGGGAGCGTGAGCGCTTTCATTAGACGCTGTTTCGAATACGCCGACCCCGATCACCCTAGCAATCAACTTGCAAACGAACAAGCGACATCCAAGACGGATGGAGCAATAGATAACAGCAGTGCGTTTGTCATTGATGATGAGGAAGACGAAGATGAAGACGACTTGCTTGCCTTCGAGGGCCCAGCGGACAGCCCAAAATCTGCGAAGAAAAAGCCAGACTTAGGGCCGTCAATCCCTCCCGCGTTGGGCAAACCTGAGGCCGAAAATGATGCCAGGCGTGCAGTGTCCAAGGCTGTATCCGAGAAAGCTAATGCGGCCCTAGATCCTTCGAACCCGCTGCACATCACATTACCTACATTTCGCATGGTCGTGCTTGCAGATGAGCTACTAGAACAGTTCTTCGAATCATCGTTTCCCACGTCATTGCATCTTATGGACGGCTTGGCGACTACTCACCAATCCACATCTTCTCTAACCACGTTCTCGAACATCAGTTTTGGACGCTCGTCTGCTGCACCTATTCCAGCTACACAGGCTGGAGTAGCAGGTGCGGGCCGTAGTCTACGTGGCGTTCTAGATAATATTGTCACGGATGCGTCACGCGTAGCTGCCGAGGTCCGACGACGAATGGAGGATGCGCAGCGCGAATTGGAGAAGAATGCAGTGCCCGGACAGAAAGACGATGAAGAAGAGGAGGAGGATGACCTTCAGGGTCCACGTCCGACTGGATACGGTGGGGACCCCGAACGGCGAAGCGTGCGGTCATCTGACAGGGATTTGCTGGATGGAGCCGACGCAGGAGCAGGAGCAGCGAAGGACCCAGAAGGGCAAAGCCAGCTAACCATCGATCCTAATGGCGCGCAAGAAGGGAGGCCCAGAACCGTTAGTTCTGCAACGACGCAGAGGATTGTGGAATTCGAGGGTTGACATGCATGTAGAGGATAAGCACAGGGACATAACGGAGTCAGGTATCGGTCTGGAACATGATTGGAGGTCTCGGTTATCGTTCTCAATACTATGTTCACAGGGTGTATGTATGGGTCGAGCGTTACCGCAGCAGAGACTATGTGCAATTCAGAGTCGATGAATCAGGACCCCGAAGTGGCGTTGAGACATTGTGCCTATCATGATTTGGCGACATAATCCCTTCGACGGCCAAGTGTAGATAAGACTTGACAATGTCCCCTCAAGTAGACCTGGTACTTGCGCTTTCCTTTGGATATTTGTGAACTCGTTGATAGAGATTGTTATCAGAGTAGGCTCGAAACATTGAGTTTTAATTTATCTATCATGTATGAAGCCGTTGCGTAAGCTCATACGTCTTTACGGCTCGTAAAAGGTACCAAAATAGTTGGTACAGATTAAGATCTCCAGCGCCATTCCAGAGCAGTAAGACATCTCTACATCGAAATAACCGCAGGTCGTCGATGATAAATCTAAGTCAAACGAACTCCGGGGTTACGAGCATTCCATTCCATCTAGCCATGCTACCCCTAGCATAGGTACCAGAGGCTGAACGAAGCAACATGCCCCTTTTTCGAGGTATGGGTAGGTACCTAAACAAATATTTTAGAACCTATATCTCCCGACTATGAATTACACATGCCATCTCCAGCAATAACAGCAGTATTCTTCTTCACGAATTAGTAATTCACCCGACTCCCCTACAAACTTCCCGGGGAATATCTTCAAATTTGTGTGGACAGCGTATATCTACCTCTTGGAACCAATCGATAATATGGGATTAGCCAAAGCAACAGCCGCGGTTTACCTGCTCGCCTTTTCGGCCCTGGGCGGCGCGGAAGTGACTACGACGAGCGCAGGTACGGGTACGGGTACTTCGACGAAAGCCGCCCACTCCATAACGACAAACACCACCACGACTTCGCGCACGGTAACGCACACCAGCGCCACCTCTCCCGCAGGCAAAACGAGCACCTCGCCTTCACACGTACCGGGCGTGACCCACATCCCCGATTCCCCTATCCTCCTATCCATCGTGCCCTTGCTTAACCCGCAAAGCCGTGAGCGTGACTCTTCCAACGGTAGCTGGAACCCGGAAAGCCTCTTCGTCACCACTTCGACGCCCTTCCTAACCCGCTCCTGCGCCAACGCATCGCCCTTCAACCTAATTTCCGGCCGCCTTTCCAACGCCAACGACGGGGCGCATCTTTCTACGATCCCGGACGTCGTGTACCAGCCCCTCACCACGACGACGTTCGCGCACGCGAACCCTGGCCGGGCTATAGACGAGACGTTTAGCGTCGAGGACGGGTACTTGCGCTGGTACGATGCGCGGTTCTACGGGGGGCGCGCGAGGTATTGTGTAAGCGGGGAGAAGGAGATGGTTAATGTGGTTTTTCATATCAACAAGACGTGGCCCGAGGGGTGCGAGGAGGTGGATGTTAGGGTGTTTAGGGAGAATGAGTGTAGGGAGGGGAAGGTGGTTGAGGGGGTGAGGATTGGAGGGGTCGAGGAGGTTGAGACGGGGAGGATGGGAGGGCAGGCTAGGACGACGGGGACGAGTGTTGCCGCTGGTGTTGATGCGAGTGCGACGACGGCGCCGGGTGGGTCGGATGAGCTGTGATGTGATGGGATTAGGAACGTTGGGTAAAGGATCGCTTCTATAGATACTAAAAGATCTAGATCTTAAGGGGTTTCAATAGCAACAATCGATCGCTGGAATTTCACTATGGAATAATCGAATGAAACTATCAATACAACTTTTTCCAATAATAATATTGAAGTCGCATCCTAACGCACAAGCACCAGAAATAGGGCTATCTCAACCATCTCAAAAGCCTAGGTAGAATTGTGAAATGTGGTATCATACGCTTCGCAAAAAAGGGGGCAGGGAGGGGTAAGTAGAAATTACCCCTTTTTCCATGTTGCAATACCATCCAACACGGCCACACTTTTCAACCACGCTCGACCGACAGAAACCAAAGCTTTTTAATACCTAAGCTACTCAATAGCAACGTTTTCAAGTTTTCCCTCGTCTTCGACCATCGGGGGCGCGTAGCGAGTGTTACGAAGATCTAGAGTCACGGCTCTCGCGGCTCTCGCAGCCGCCACAGCTTCTTCCATCGCAGCTGCTTCTTCAGCCCTTTTGCGTTCCTTATACGCTCTCCCGCGAGCCCGCATCTCAATGGCCCAGTCCTCGTATTGGCGTTCTTCGGCGATGATAGCAGCGACGTCTTCACGGACCAGCCTTGCGCTCGTTTTGTACGCTGTCTATCTAGGTTGTTAGAATCCCTGGCTGCGCGATGAAGGGCTAGGTTCTGAGAAGGATGCGTAGGGGAAGAGATTTGTGATGATACACAGTATGAAATAAGAGGAGTAACTTACGACTTCGAGGAATATGAATAGGGAGGCTGCTAGGAAAGCGAAAGCCGCGAAGCAGCACATGATTACAAGGGTCACTTGTCCTCGCAGGCTTTGCTTGTCAGATATAAAGTAGAGGACCCCGCCTGCGAGCGCTATCGAGCCGAACAGGGCTACGAAGTAGACGAGCCGCAATCGTCTGCATATAGCCTCGGGCGTGTCGTCGAGGAGATGGAAGCACGAGCACGTGTTTATGTATGCGTAGGGAGGCATGATGTAGTAGAAGTCAGGGACGCTGTATTGCGATAGAATATGTGTTTTTGGGGTTGTTTCTTGCTGAAAAGATGCGTTTAGGAGATGATGGGGTTGAATCGTATGCCTATTCGACCCGACCGTTCGTCGCTTGGATACCTGACAGAAAGAATGTGGAATATCGGTTGACAAGTCGGGGGAATAAGATATATACCAAGATTTTCATTAGTGCAGGTACCTATCGTCAGAAATTGATGTATAAGACCTAATGAATTTTGTTGCGTTTACACTTTCTAGATATGACCTACCTCGGCCATCAAAAATTTCAATGCGTTCCTGGATGCTGTGCTTATGCCTCGTTCAGTCTTTCCTTGGATCTCGGTAATCACCTACCTAACTTTATATCTCTCTATACATTCAACCATGAGCTCAAAACTTAAAAAGGGGTTGTAAAGGCATTCTGTCAAAAATAAAGCGGAGTTGCGTGCGTGGAGATATCCTCGTAGCACTTAGGGGTGTAGAAGTTTGTCAAAAGCTGTTAGATTGCCGAATATATTCTAATTATATTTTAATTTGATATTTTTTATATTTCTTTCGACGTTCCAAACTTGTTCTATAATGAAAACTTACTTACCTACGCACCTCTGATATCCCTTCTTTACGTTCGACACGCGAAGCCTTTCTTGCCCTTGGATTGATCTTTCAAGGAGACACTTCCTGAGTTATGGGCTTATTATCAGTCTATCTTTCAGAGAGATAGCGGAAATAGGACTAGAACTCGAGATTCTTATCATCTATTCCACGATACTCATATATATCGGCAATGCACTGGTTTGGCAACTCGGCGCCCGGCGAATACGGGACGCGAACCTGAAGTTTGAGATCGGTGCCGCTGTCGGCAAATGCATAACTTCGCAGGCATCTTCGACGTAGGAATAGCCTGTATTTCATATAATCAAATTAATCCAATCTTTGAGTTCTTTTCGGCTTTCCTCTCTTCTACTATGGGAAGTCTGTCCATCTGGCATACAATCGTGAAGGTACGTCATCCGTTTCATTTTAATATCCTTCGTACATCTCAAATCTATCATATCCGAACGTCTCGCTGAGTCACGAAAACTGACCCGCTTAGCCCACATATGAGTCTTACCACCGAGTAAAGACAAGTGCGATCGGGTTTCTCCGCGAGGGGATGAGTACACTAGAGAGAGAAATAGAATGGGTAAAGGAGGAGGCGAAGAAAGAATCACAGGAAACGGAAGTAAAATCGGAAGCTGAAGCGGGAGAAAACTCGTCTTTCTCGGGACCTGTGCAGCTGGACTACGACGCCTCCGATGAGACGGTGTGTGGGAGTGACGGAGAGCGGGAGGCGGTATTGCCAGGGGTTGAATTAGACGTCAAGTGCCCCCAAAAGCCCACAAAGACGGTACGATGGGCGACTGATAAATGAATTCCGTGCAGTCGAGTTGCGGGAAATTTGTATGGATATTTCTGTATCAGTGCCTTGGAATCTAGAAGAGTTCATACATACCTGGTAGGCAGCGTCACGCAATTTTTGCAAGTTCCCTCGGTACGAACCACCACTCCCATTATCCTCACTGAGATATGAAAGAAGGGCAATATTTGAAATTCAAACCCGCTTGTTCCCCAACCTATACCAAATAAACAAACAGGTACTAAACGCTACAAGAAGGCGAAAAAGGAGTGAAGAAAAAGGCAAACCTATTCCCGAGAAACCACTCAGTTCCCGTCCAACCAAGGTAATCGCGGAATTGTCAGGTTCGTGATACCGAACGTCTCCTTCATCTCTCTCACCACAGCTATAAGGTTATGCAGATAATACCGGCCCTCCCAGAACAACTTCTCCGGTCGATCGTCCGCTTCCATAAATCCACCGCCCCCTGGCGTCACCGGCGTCCTCATGACGGACGCTCTCTGCTTCGCGACTATGACGTTTACGAGGTCGAAGATGAGCGTCAGTACCCACCTCAGCTCGGGCTCGAGGTGCGTGAAGCCTTGAGCCCAACAGCACCAGGAGCGAGCATCGAGCAGGAGCCCGTCTACGGCGCTGCACCTCTCTTCCTCATTAACTAGCGGTTGGAAGTAGTTCCTGATGCGCCACTCGTTCGCGGCAGGTTGGACGGCGGGCCAGCCCCGGAAATCCGTGTACCGGAAGAGGAAGATGCCCTCATGCCTACGGTGCCAATGCGTCGGGCGCACGTCGAAGACGGCGGGGTTGTCGTACGGGACGAACTGCTGCAGGAACGCATTGCTGAGAGCACGAATGGGCACCCGGACGATGTTAGAGGGAGAGGGAGTTGTGCGGTCTGATGGTGCGTCTTCCATCTTGATGTCCCCATCTGCATCGACTGAGTACTACTCGCTGTGATCTAAATCGTCCTGGTCGCTACTGATAGAACTGCTGGTGCAGCAACGGCAACGTTTCCGACTCCTCTGTGGTCTCATGTCGTTACCATCGTGGGGATTCCCGAATGTCTCTTCCATGGACGGTAGTGAGTACTTAGGCCCATCCAGATCCATGGCATCGGGGTCGCTAGTCGCGGCATCTACGCACCCAAACAGACCGCCAGATTCCCGAGGTACCGGCGACACAGGACTCATTGTTCCGTCAGTATGACCGGTAGTGGCACTACTATCGAAACCCGGATATCTAGTGGCTTCTTTGGGGAACCGAAAGAAGAGCCAGGCGCATTCACCACACACGGGCTGGGGGAGACGCCGGTGAGACTTGACCGCGATGCAGTGGTAGGCACGATGAATGGAACAGTAGTAGAATGCAGCTCCGGGGCCCGTGTTCTTGTCGTGGTTGAGCTTGTAACTCGAGCCGTTGGGGCGAACGTAGTGGCACTCTGGCATGAAACAAGACATTTTAGCGGCGGTTACTTTTTTCTTTCTTTTTTAATTGATTATATTTTCGTGTGTTGGATTAACGAATGTGTATTAACGGGAGAATGGATGTCTTAATATAGTATGGTTGTGAAACTGATTGATTAAGTGACTTGAGAAGTGGGTGATAGTTGTATGAGAGCAAGTTGAAGTGTGAAAAGGGAAGATATAATTGAATTTTAAGTGTATCCGAATCTAATTGAATTTGAATGAAACCAGGAAGGAACCTAGATTCTAATGTAAATGGTGGTTCCTTACCTTTGAGGCAGTGATTCATATTTTAGGTACCCGGGGTAGTCGCCATTCAAGCGACAGATTGACGTCGAGAAGTCGCAACAGAATACATCATTTCTTTCCGAATTAGGCAATCCATGCTCTTTCTGAGGTTCCAGTTAGGTAATATTGAATATTCAATAGCCCTACCTGCAATTTTGTGTTTGGGAAATCTCGGTTTGCTCCTACCTCCTATCCGAGTTGTTCATTGGAGGGGAGAGAATTCCGCATGTGACCGGCTCCGCGAGCCCCTGAATAAGCGACACATTTCTACACAACTCAATGGCTGAGTCAGGGCTTGGGAGAATGAGCAAATACATTTTACCTCAAATCCCCGGGGTAAATCGAATTCTTTATCTTACCTCAATGTTAAAATAACCGTATTGCCTGTCATTTCCTCGGAGACCAGTCCTCCCCCGACGTTCCCTGCTAGATCGAGAAAATCCATCCTCGGCCCTACACGCGCTACGCCCACAACGGGTAAAGGAGTATCTCCGTCGCATCCCGCATCTCCTGAGTTAATGAGACTTTTACAAGATTTACGTGCTTATCAGAATGTTTTGCTGGGATGTGTATGTGTGTCGCACGGAAAAAAAACCACGAGGTCAATGGTGTTGGTGATGGAACAGGGATGGAACCAAGATTCGAAAGCTTGTTCGGTCCCAAACCCGGTCTATTGGAAATCAGGTACCGAGGGGGAACCTGGGACGCGCCCGCTTGCTGCTGTGTAACGTCGGAACTTCCGAGCTCAGAAACCCGAGCCAAGATTGAGAGGACGGAGCCTCATAAGTAACTTGCATGTACTCTTGAACGGCCTTATTGCTGGGTCGTATTACCTCAGTATTACCTACTCGGTAGTCGGTCATCCCCGTAGAGGTGGGTGTGGGCGGCTCGCGGTGGCACATCCCGACATCGAGACCACACGCGCATCTCCGTCTTTAGGGAGGTGACAGGTCGACAAAAGCACTGTGTTCACTAAGTGTAATGTAACCCCCTTGAGCCTCACTCAAGCCTCGCAGGGCTGACAAGGGACCAGAGAGCGAATGACATTCGAGCAGGGAGAGCCACTCGCGTTTAAGATTGATAATTACCGACGAATCATGTGAGAGGGATCCAACCCGGTCATTCTCCGGTACTTGACCTGGTCCATCTACTGCCGGTTTGATTCGCTAAAGCTCGTCGTTTTTTACAATGAGAGTCGAGAGTTAGCGTGCCAATCTGACTCACGATATGAAGAACGGTCGCCGTAATGAATTTCTTGTCTCTTCAACTAGACATAGACACGTGAAAGCTAGACCTTCACGTTCCTGGGTATTGCCGCTTCTACCTGCCCTCGCTGCGTCTAACCAGCCGATCTCGAATCTATTGGGACGCCCCCCCTTCGCTCTCACACCCCCCGTACCTCCCGAGAAGCAAAACAAGAGAAATATATCAAGTTGCATATTCGCGGTACTCGGACAAGACACCGACTTTTCGAGTCAGCAAGCCAATGATTGTGAAATGACGTGTACTCTCAGAGTGTACCACCCCACGACAATTTTCTTTTCGAACGACACGCTAGGTCTTAGTGAATTCGATAGACCATGCGTTCGACCGGGATAGGGTCATGATCGGTGCATGGCGGGAACTTTTCGAACTGGCAAAGGAATGGAATTGAGAAATGATATTGCAAAATTGGCGACGAAACTCAGGACTCAGACTCAAACCACGCCTAGGATCTTCAGTCAGTCGACCGTTTCCGAGTCTCACCATCGAATTAATTAACTTACTCAAAAGAAAATCTCAGTTTTTTTTAGGCAACGTAAGTTCCACAGTAAGGACAGTCTCGTCCAGGCAAAACCCAAACCTCTTGGCCCTTCCCCTGGCAGGTAGGGCAGCGTTTTCCGGGAGCCTTGAGGCAGAAAGTTAACAATACTCTATTCTCGTAGATAGACAATGGCACATACGGTCCCAGACATGTCAACTAGGGGGCAATCATGCGTAGATGTTGAGTGACAACAATGGGTAACTTGGGACTCAGAGCTGGAGTCGTGAACATAGGAGCAAGCCATTGTATGTGTATGGTCGTCTTAAGATGATGATGCTAGAATATTCTAAAAATGAGGGGAAGTCTAGCAAAGGAACGTTGGTAATTATAGTCAGGCAGATAAGGCGACGGGATGAGCGACGAAATAAACGTGGATGATGATAGATGATGAGGTATGTTCAAAGGAGACTCGGAGTCCTACGGCCGTACTTATACTTTTCTTGGGTAGGTCAACGCCCGAAACAAGGGCCGAGTAGGTGTATCGCAGGGGCAGACCAAAAAAAAATAGGACAGCTCAAATGACCACGATTGCCGCGTTGAATGCGGCTGGCGTACTTAGTGCCTGCGTGGGAAGAAAAAGTGACGGGGTGTCTGATAGTTAGGACCTGTACGTATCCGAAGCAGCACGGAATCATGTTGCGGAAGGCTCGCGGCAGAGGGGGGCCCTCGCTCTATTCGTCAGGGACACGGATTCTAAGGCGATGTAATAATACTACTATCAGGTCTAATTCTGAGCAATATCCCGGCAAAAAGCACCATTGTGGTGACTGAGCCCGATGCGTCCAGCCATGCTTCGATAGGGGAGAGGTACGGTGATCTGAATTTTCTGACAAGACACAAACCCATTAAGTGGGGTTTGATATCGAGGGCAGGAAACGTGGGACACAAGTAGGCCGTGGACCTCTTGGCACCTGAATGACATCTGTTTCGTCAGTGCGGATATGGCGTCAGAAGACTATTGGGCTGGTGTTAAGAGCGAAGGCAGATCGTGACTGTCAGTAAGTGTATGTTGTATGCGGGTGGTGTATGTATGTTTGAAGGGTGTGTGTGGGCCAGTACGCCAGAGAAGTCTGGACATTTCAGGTCAGACAGGGCGAGTTGAGAAAAAAAAAGCAAAAAACAGGGATAATCTGTACCGCCAACTACGGTGGTCATCAACCGGGTTGGCGGGTACTCGGGCCCGTCGGGAGATTTCTTTCATTCTTCATTCTTTTTTCTACTTTGTTGTTTTAGGGAGATCGTATGTGGGGAGATATATATCTAGGTAGAGTAGGGAAGAGAGACAAAAAAAGGACAAAAAGAGAACAATGAAACAGAAGGGACAGAGGTAGGAAGATCGAGACAAGGGGAGGATAATTAGGTAAGGTGTTTTGAAAGTTACGGATTACGGATATTTTACATACCTACCCTTACCACCTGGTAAAGTTACATGGTAAATGGTAAAAGTAAGGATGATAGGTAGTTGATATTGGGACCCCTATAGGTAGTATATACTAGTACTAGGTACCGCCATGTGTAGCTAGGTACATAATGTATGATATGCATGTACGTGGTACCTTACGCATGAGAATATGTACGTATGTGTGCATGTAGGTACATTAAGTATGCATGTATGGGCAATACATACATTGGAATGTATAATATATAGATTGTCAACCTCTTAAATGGGTGAAAATCATCCCAGTATCCGGGGTTGCCAAGTTTGCTTGATCCAAGCGCTCGGAACCCCCCGCGTGTGAAAAAGACATGAAGTTGCATGGCAATGGGACAGATCAATATCGAATATTGGGAGATGGGGAATGGGAAAAAAGAAAAGGGAATTCAGATATCGAATGGTGGATGATCCATATGTAATTAAGTAGCATAGACCTTCTCCAAAGAGGACCCCCTTTTTAGCGCCCCTGTAACGACCTGTGCGACCATACGCTCCAGTGGTGAGTTTTTTCCCCGTAGAAAGCGCCTCCTAACGAACCTCACTAACACTAACAGGAAACCACGAACGCCAACTTTAAGCCTTCACTATTTTTCACTTTACGCTTTTCCGTCCGACTTCAACCTTTCAACTTTCTCACATCTTCTAACTTTGTACTAAGTCTAGCTGAGCATACGTGAGATATTTCAAAAATGGCCGACGTTTCATCACTCGTTTTCACGGGAGCAGGTTTTTTTTGCCATCGTTGGGCTCAAGAATGGGAAGCGGGAAGCCGCCAAAAACTACTTCCAGAACCTCCAGCGGCCGTTGGAACCCTGATTCGATCCCATGCGCGTCACGACGCACGTTTTTTTTCTCAACGCCCTGTCTCCCCTTGAATGCAAAACTAGCGTAGCATATCTAGTAAAAAGCAGACGCCGATTCGTTCATGACCCTGTCACTCTTCCCGTACTACCGCTGCAAAGTATACGCGACTATCTCGTTGTCGAATACTGTTGATATCATTGCTACCCTTTGCCGGAGCTGCTCACCAAGTCTAGTGTTTCTAGAGGGATCTTGTCGTGGTGGCTTTTGGTCCCCGTCCCACAACTGACTCCTATTGCAACCAACCAAGCCAAGTTTGCCTCCGCAGATGGCAGGTAACAGGCAAACGATTGATTTTATTTTTATCCTCAATTATTCGTTCTTGTTTTTAGAACCCTCATAGACCAGATTGGGCCGCCTTGTGTCTCGGGACCGCATTCCTTTTGTGGAGATGCGGTTGTGCTGCTGTCTATAGTGGCAGATCTCATACGTGTTCGGCAAGAGAATAATACAATATAGAGGTGTCTAGGTTGATATCTGGTGCGAAATAACCCGATTGACGAGCTGGGAACTTCAAAGTTCATTACGTTGTAAGTAGCTACAGGCATTAGGTAAGAAGCCCTCTCCCGTTGCCTAAAGGAGAAAGTCGATTAATGGGGTTCCCCC